GTGAAATCTGCCGGCTGCATCTGTGGCGCGTGCCCCGGGATGACGTCTTCGGCCTGCGCAGAGGCAGCGAGCGGCAGCGACGGCGGCGGCGACGAGTACCACGGCATGGAAAGTACAACAGAAGATGGGATGATGACTGTCAGAGGAAAGAGATGGTTGGCGGGAGGGAGCGGATGTGCGCCCAGACCTTTGACGGGCGTGAATGGGTGGACAGCCGTCGCCGACAAGCGGCAGCATTCTGAGACATGCCCGCTAGCCAAATAGGTAATATCTATGTTCAGCTATGAAGCCATATTAGGCACAAGGCGAATCCTCTACAATGTATCTATGGAACGATAGATCGTCGTACTCAGAGCGTGCCCTTGACCGCGTGTGCGACCGACTCGGCGAAGTAATCAATGTTCCCGCCATTCAAGCCGGCCATCGAGATACGGCCGTCTGCGGTCATGTAGATGTGTGCCTTCTCCGCGAGCGTCTTCGTCTGTTCCGGCTTAAGGCCGGTGAACGAGAACATACCGATCTGGCTCTTGATGTGGCCCTAGAGACGGAAGAAACGGAATCAGCTCCGTCCTCAAGCGCTGGCAAATGACGAAGCACGTACCCACTCGCCAGGCGTCTTGTGGGTGTGGGTGAGCTCGTTGTACAGACGCTCACGCATGCTGATGATGCGGTCGGCCATACCCTTGACCTCCGTCTCCCATTGGCCAGCAAGGTCGGGGGTACCGAGAATGGTGCTCGCGATGCGCGCACCGTGCAGAGGCGGGTTCGAGTACATGGGACGGATGACAATCTTCAACTGGCTGTCTACGCGGGCCTTCTCCTCGGGGTCCGCGACAGTCAAGGAGAAAGCACCGACACGCTCGCCGTAGAGACCCATGTTCTTGGCGAACGACTGCGAGAGTGCAATCTGGTGGCCCTGGCTAACGAAGTGACGAACGGCAAACGCATCACGGTCAGTCGAGCCAGATGCGAAGCCCTGGTACGCCATGTCGAAAAAGGGGAAGAGTTGCTTTTCCTTGACAATGTCGCTGATCTCCTTCCATTGCTCCGGCGTCGGGTCAACACCGGTCGGGTTGTGTGCGCACGCATGGAGAAGGACGATAGCCTTGTCATCCGCTTTCTGCACGAATGCATAAGTATATCACAACAGGGCGTCAATGTTGAGACCCACCCTCAAGTCCTCCTTGAGTCCCTCAAAGTCGAGACCAACGGTCTTCTTGTCGAAGTAGCGGTAGGACTTGACCTCGAGTCCGCTGTCGCGGAAGATGGGAATGTGGTTGCCCCAGGTTGGCGCGGGCAGGTAAATGCTCTTAGAATGCGGGTAGAAGCGGGCGAGGAAAGCACCGCCGATGCGGAGGGCGCCAGTGCCAGAGATGGACTGGGTGACAGCTACAGTGCCATTGGTGATGGGCGTGCTGTCAGCGCCGTACGCAAGCCTTGCCGCGTGCTTGGTGAGCTCAGGGAGACCAGTGATGGGCAGGTACTCCTTGTCCGGGTTCGACGCCCGGAGGACCTCCTCGGCCTGTACGCGTGTGTGAGTCATCGCCGTGACTCGACCATGCATGGGGGACGCGTACCTTCTTGACTGCATCGAGCACGTATGGCTTGCCGTTGCCGTCGCGGTACGCGCCAACACCGAGGTTAATTTTGCGCGGGTCCTTGTCCGCCTTGAAGGCCTCGGTGACACCTGTTCAAGTGATAATACGTATTAGTACACGTTCTCGCACAATCCGCACAGTCTTCCCAAGCGACTTGGTCACTGGGCCTCGCAGCTCCCAGGACGCGCAAGAATACGCGCGCGAACGTTCAAAGAAGCCTACTAACCGAGAATGGGGTCGGGGGGACCGGCCGGAACGGCAGACCAGGTCGAGACACCGGCGGCACGCACGACGCGCGGTGCAAGAGTACGTGTACGAGCGACGGCCTGCATCGTCCAAGATATTTTGTGAAGAATAAAGAACGGTGGTCGGGGTATTAGCTTAAGTAGCCTCTGCCCTGCAACACGGGTATTTTCGGGCGGATGGGTTGATCACATGGATTCCGTCTAGACGCTGCGGCGGTAGGGCCTCGCTACTTCTTCCTCGACATGATGAGGCCACGGTCAAGACCAGTTCGAGGCTTGGCTTGAGAGCGGTCCATTCGGAAAGCACTCTTCCTGTTCGCGTTTGACATGTCGCTTCCGACCTCTGTATTCTGAAGCCGCACTGTGCGCGCCGTCCAGTCCGCAAACTCCCATGATCTATCCGAACCAGCGCCTTGCGGCACCCGAGCACCGACTGGCGGCTCACAGTATCCGTTCTGATTATACAGAGCCGCAGCGCAAGTGTTGCCCGTGCAACTCATGAGATCGTCGGCCAGCGTCGGCCAGTTGAGTATTGTCGATGGTTCGGGCGCCGCTCTCGCATGCCAATTATCCCGGCGCAGACGTCCGAAAGAGCTCAGTTCAGATGGCTATTATCTTATCTATAGACTCTTACCTAACCAGGGTACTTAACCAATCATGACATCGCACGCGTTGCCCCCAGATCCTACGACCTACCATGACCACGGTTAAACCTACTGAAGGCTTCTTTGACTTCTCCTACGCAGGCGCGACTTATCAGACGTACTACAAACTATTCGGTGATCTTGGATCGAGCGGCAAGGCTACGCCTCTAATCATACTGAACGGAGGGCCCGGCTCTCCTCATCTGTACTGCCTCCCCCACAGGCTTTTGCATCATCGCGGGCTCCCCGTCCTATTCTATGATCAGCTCGGGTCCGGAAAATCAAGCCACTTGAAGGATAAACCGTCGGATTTCTGGACCGTCGAGCTTTATCTCGCAGAGCTGGAGAATGTCATCAAGCACTTTGGTCTGGAGGAAAACTTTTCGCTTCTAGGACATAGGTACTTCCCGTGTGTGTGCAGTTCCAGCGCAACCCTGATCGGTGACAGCTGGGGAGGTATGCTGGCCATGGAGTACGCGGTTGAACGTCAGCCACCGGGTCTGCGTCGCCTGGTGTTGGCAGATACGCTCGCGTCCATGCCAACCTACATCGAGGGCATCAATGAGCTGCTGCGTGAACTTCCACAGGAGCTACTAGATGCTATTTCGAAGAATGAGGCCGCCGGTACATTCGACGATCCAGAGTACCAAAAGGCATGCAATGTCTTCTACAAGAAACATATGTGCAAGCAGGATCCCTGGCCGCAGGAACTTCAGGAAGGTCGGTTGCTCTCACCCAATACCTTTGAGCGAGCGCTGATGCTTTCCGCTTCGCCAGGCTTTGCCGCCATGGAGGAGGATAAGACCGTCTATTTGGCCATGTCCGCTCTACTCCTGTCAAGCCCGCAACGAAGCTCATAGTCAGCGTAGGCAGGGACCATCCGAATTCACGATCACAGGCTCGCTGAAGGAATGGTCAATCACGGAGCGTCTACAAGCGATTACAGTTCCGTACGTTCGCTCTATACACCACTTCAAGACCAGAGGGAAGATTGACCTGGCAGTTGTAGTACCCTCATTCTGAGTGGCGATGTTGACACAGCACAGCCTGTCACCGTTGAGCCCATCTTCAAGAACATAGCTCGTTCCAAGTGGGTACAACTGGCGAATGCGGGCCATTGCTCCTTCTACGATCAGCAGGCGAGTCTTCTACCTGTACTCAGAGTAAACGAGCGAAGCTACATAGCTCATCTGTCGTACAGGAGTCATACATGCGTATCGTAGGAGACTTCCTAGTTTAAACACATAACGAAAGAATTGAGTTGTACGAATATATGTAGCTTTGGGCGTCAATGGTGGTACGGAGGAAAACGGCGTTTGACTCATTTATTCGGCTAAAGCGGCCGCGCGAGGTGACTGTGGTCGGCTAAAACGTCATGGGCGTTGTAGCCGGGCGTGCCTAGAGCGTCCCAAGTCTCCCGACTGAAATCCTTCACTTGCCGCCCAACCACCATCTGCCCATTCTTCGGTCTACGTCATGGATAAGCTCAAGCATGCTTTCGAGAAAGTAGGGCATAGACGATCTGCGTCTGTCGACAAGCACTCGAAGGAGGCATCCAAGGCCAAGGAGGCAAAGCCGTCGACATCCGAGACGCCTGCTTCCCCTGCGCCTGCCGAGGCTAAGGAGGAGAAGAAGGAGACCAAGGCGGAGGCCAAGGAAGAGGCCAAAGAAGAGACCAAGGAGGGGTAAGCAGAAATAACCGTGGATGCGCTGCGATTCTGACGGGCCATGCAGCGAGGAGCACAAGCCGAGCAAGAACGAGCTGAAGAAGCGCGCAAAGGAGGCCGAGAAGGAGAAGAAGAAGGCCGAGCGCGCTGCAAAGCTGGCCGAGGAGGAAAAGGCGCGCCAGGCGGCTGCTCAGGTTCGTCTCCGCCGCCGTCCGATTATTCCGTACGTCACCTAACTGCCTGACAGGCCGAGCTCGACAACGACTTTGCAAAGGATCGCTATGGCGAGCTGCCGATGATCCAGTCTGCGTCGCGTGAGGGCACCCCGCGCACGCAGATCGCCGATCTCTCCGCCGACATGGACGGCCAGCAGGTCCTCATCCGCGCGCGTATACACACCACTCGTGCACAGGGCGCTAAGATGGTCTTCATGAACATCCGTCAGCGCGATCACACCCTCCAGGTCCTGCTCTCCCAGTCGGACGACAAGATCTCGAAGCCTATGGTCAAATGGGTCGAGCATCTCCCCATCGAGGCTATCATCCTTCTCCACGGTACCGTGAAGAAGTCGCCCGAGCCCATCAAGAGCGCAACCATCTCGGACGTCGAGGTTCACGTCGACAAGGTCCATGCTCCATCTATTCTCATCTTGCGCTGTCTTCACTAACATGGATATAGCTCTTCCTCATCTCCCAGCCTACCGACCGTCCAGCTTTCCTGGTCGAGGACGCCAACCGCCCCGACGCCGACTTTGAGAAGGAGGACGCTCAGTTCAACAAGGTCCTCCTGGATACGCGCCTCAACAACCGTGTTCTCGATCTTCGTGTACGCATACGCGTATATCCTGTCACACGACCGTACTAATAGCAAATCAATAGACTACCACCAACCAGGCAATCTTCAAGTTACAGGCGCAGGTCACCAAGTACTTCCGCGACTACCTCGATGGTCAGAACTTCACGGAGATCCACAGCCCTAAGCTGCAGGGCGCCGCTACTGAGTCGGGCGCATCGGTCTTCAAGGTCTCCTACTTCAAGGGTACGCGTCTCCCACCGTTTGGGCCGGCGCTTGATACTCATCCGTCTTCTTTAGGCGCCGCTTTCCTCGCCCAATCGCCACAGCTGGCTAAGCAGATGTGTATCGCCGCCGACTTCGAGCGTGTCTACGAGATCGGCCCCGTCTTCCGCGCGGAGGACTCCAACACGCACAGGCATTTGACGGAGTTCACCGGCCTTGATCTCGAGATGGCTATAGAGGAGCATTACCACGAGGCGATGGAAATGCTCGACGGCATGTTGAAGTACATCTTCACGCAGCTCAAGCAGCATCACCAGAAGGAGATCGACACCATCGGTCTTCAGTTCCCTGCGGAGGAGTTCAAGTGGAGGGAGGAGACTCTCAAGCTCACGTTCGCTGAAGCCATCGAGCTCCTCAACGGCGCCGGCGCGAATCTTCAGCCGCATGATGATATCAAGTAAGTCCGCTCTTTGTATCATGTGTTCCCGGTCCTCACTGGCTTTGCAGCACCGAGAACGAGAAGAAGCTCGGCCGTATTGTCAAGGAGAAGTACGACGTCGACTACTACATCATCGACAAGTTCCCGATGGCCCTTCGTCCATTCTACACCATGCCGGACCCGAACAACCCTGTGAGTTAACACAAGCCTACATCTATCGTGTGCACGCTCATAGCCCGATGCAGGAACTGTCTAACTCTTACGATTTCTTCATGCGCGGCGAGGAGATCCTCTCCGGCGCTCAGCGTGTGCATGTCCCGAAGATGCTTGAGGAGTCGATGGTTAAGGCGAAGATCGACCCAGCGTCGATGAAAGGATATCTCGACGGCTTCCGCATGGGATGCCCGCCTCACGCTGGTGGCGGTATCGGTCTTGAGCGCGTGCTGATGCTGTTCCTCAAACTGAACAACATCCGCCGCACATCGCTCTTCCCGCGCGATCCCAAGCGTCTCGAGCCCTAAGCGTGTGCACATCGTCGGTGCGTGGATACGAACGAACGAACGAAAGACATTGCACTCCCTGTAATATATCTACGCTACTTACGAGTCTGTAAACACGTTGCTCCAATGGCTATCCTGGGCTTTCCCCCGTTTCAACTTTCATGAAGCAAGCGAGGAGCCGACGGTGATCGGATGAATGCAACCGTTGACCTTTCTTCCTAAGCTCGGATGTTGATGCGCTGACGTCGGTCAGCATGCGTTTCTTAGCGAATGACAAGCGAAACATGTATATATCTTACCCCATGTTGCTTGGGCAACACCGTGGTTTGACCCCCCGCCTCCTCAAGACAGCGACACAATGGCCGAGTCGCCGGCAGGTTCTGCGCTCAACCCTAATGATCAGGCATCGGTGGGCGTGGCTGCAGACTCGGACGCCACCGCACTCGTTCACCGCAACCTGATCGGCGTTCTACTGGGCGTTGCGCTTCTCTTCGCTGGGTTTATCCTTTGGCTCTTCCTCGGTCGTTGGGGTAAGCGATCCCGCGCAGCCGCCCGCCGCGTCTTCTGTTGCCGCAAGAAGAGGACGAAGTGCGCGGGTCTACCGGAGATGCAGTGGGAGAAGGAGAAGTGCTTCAACGACGGGGACTCCGTGCAGTGCGCGGATCCTCGCGCAAAGGCCCCGTTGAGCGAGCTTGAGAAGGGCACGCTTCAGCTGGGGACCATGAAGATCGTAAGACTCAGTGTACGTCGTTCCACTCCCGAATCGTCTGCTCTCGCTAATGTTGCGCACAGAAGGAACGCTTCCCGACGATGCAGAACTCGGGCTTCTCTGCCCAGGTAACTGTAGCCAATCCGTCGAAGTAGCGCTTGCTGGCATCGCTCTTCTGTGAATTCGTGCGTGCGCCACAGCTGTCGACGGAGCCGCTTGCTGACAAGGACTTGCTGACTGTAGCCTATTCTCCGCCTCGTCGACCTCGATCCACCCTTTGCTACCTGCCACCACCTTCTCCCGAGGCACCCTTACACTCCTTAGCTCACTACCCGCCCGCGCTGTTCAAACTCGCGTACCCTACTCTCTTTCTACTCGGTGCCACCTCGTGCGTCCAGCATCACGATCCGACCTGCCGTCGTTCCACCTTTCTTCGCTTTTCTCCGCGCCCGCTCTCGGTCATATCGAGCCACCTAAACATTTATCAGAGCGTCCCCAACCCTTACTGTACTATCGCCTACGTGGCGCTTCTATTAATCCTCCTGTTAATACCTTTTCGTGTCCCTTGCGCATGGCGCCCTTCATATCGCGCGTACCTCTACGACGACTCGACCACTGTATATCTTCATCCACTGCTTCGGAAACGCTACGATGACGTTTCAGCTGGGCTGTACTATGTCACATAGCACAGGACAGCCATTATGGCCACAGGTCTAGTACTGACCACATGCTCAAGTTTGGCTTAAGTCTGTCTCTTGGCTCTCCTTGGGGACCTTCACGCCCGTGCGCAGTTGAAGTCCAAAGAGTCTTAGCGCAAGCATATGTTCACCTCTAAGACCAATCTAACCCTTCTTCACCCAAGAGACGATGTTGTGGTCTCGGTTCCCTCGACGCCGAATCTGATCTGTGGCACATTTGAAATTCTCGCAGAGATTGCGATAAGCTTTTGCGCTCTGTGAACCCACAGCGTAACCCTTGACGTGAGGCTGGCGTTGGCTCAGCTCATTCCGCCACTGCGCCTCGATCAGATCGTCTTTGACTCTGCTAGGAATGGAGGGTAGCAAGATGTGCGCAAGAGGGCCGAGACCTACGATGCAAGCCGCGGAAAGCGCCCTGCGCCACACAGTGCCTGCCGTGGTATCCAGGGTGGCCCCATGTCTTTTCACAAGACTGCGGTGCATAGGCACGTCTATAGCCTAAGCAGGGCAGACTTGGATGACCTGTCTATACCGCAGTACACCGCCGGGCATTCCGTGAGAGGTGGCTGAACACCTCTGATGCCTCGATATAACGCATATATGGTCCCTGAGACCGATTCATTTCCATTCCTCCCTGCTGCTTTACGCACGCTCGGCTGTTACCGTGGGCCTAACGCGAAGCAACAGGACCTTCGAGTAATGATAGAACGTGCAACAGTCACGAGCTTGCTCATTAACCTGGTTCCAGCCGTGGACTCGAACAATAGGCCGCCGCGGCCCAGACTCTCGCCCCGCCCCGAGCCCGCGTCAGCCCGTGTCTCGAAAGGCGGGGGAAGTAAGTATTGAGAGATAGCGGGATCTAAAGGGCTCCCACACAGCCATCTGGGCGCATATAACTACCCCGCCCTAAGCGCCTGCGCCGCATATCATATCAACCAAAAGACCAAGACACCTCCGATCCATATCCAAGGGTCTCAATCTCCAAACTCCGCGAATCGCCTCTCGCGCGTATATAACCGTCCCACTCTATCGAACCAAGTGAATGTCCTTCACGCCGTACTTGACCGAGCCCCGGAACTTCCTCGCCGACCTCGACCGCGCACTCGAGCATGCATTCGGGCCCGTCAAACCCAATACCGATCCCCGGCGCGCATCCGCACCAACCGCATCCGCACAGGCTGACGCGCCTCGGCTCGGAGCGCAGTCCCAGCCCCAGTCCGCGTACGTCTTCCTCATTCTGTCCCTAAAGAGCATCTGAGCTTACGACCAACCAGGGGGACGCTCGCGAACGCGACCGTCGCGCAGACCGCTGCAGCATCAACTGCGTCGGCGCTCTCGCAGTCCGGCGCCGACCGAGCGCGTGCGTCCGATGTACCAGCGCTCGGTGACACCCACGCGCTGAATATGAATCCCAACTCTGCACAAGACCGTAACCGCGAGCGCGAGGTTGCGGCGCAGAGGAGGATGTTCGCGCGATATACGCGTTTCCTCGTCTTGCGCGGACGATGAGCGCGTGCCACTCGACGCTGTCCTACCACTTCTTGCTCTCTTGATCCGCTATCATCTTGTCTGCGTGTATGTTCGAGATATGGACTCGCCTGATTCTGAAATGTATGATATGTTCCGGGGAATATGCTGCTTCACCTGTACTTGTACTGTACCATCCTAGAGCCATCTGCTTGAAATCGCGATGTATGCATCCTGACGTTCAGAATCGAACGTGACGCTCGAAGAGAAGACAAAGGTCCCAAGAGATATATCCAAATGAAAGCTAGAATTGAAAGGCTGCTGGGATACATAGATGCAGAGCGATGAACGAGGGGCGGCGCGACGGCGGCGGGTAGACGTAGGTAGTACAAACAGAGGCGTGTCGAGTGGATCTACTGCGGTGTAAGACCACAGGTGACTGAATGATATGGTGTCCGTGGGCGACGAGAACTAGGGCGTGAGGCGAAAGCGAGCGGGGAGTGTAGATGCGTGAACATATAATGAAGAGTGACGAGGAAAGAGGCGGGGGTTATGTGTCGCGTGCGTCGCGATTCCTCGCCGCACGTCGCTGCTCTGATCTGCGCGACCTCCTGCGACCGCTGCTCGTACTCGCACTTCCTTGCGGTACCATATCGCCAGGAATGACGCCCCGCTCGAGTGCAGCGCCGATAATCTCTGCTGGCAAATCGATGCTGACGCCGTCTCGATACCTGTACGAGTCCAACGGAGAATACTCCGGCGGACCCGCTGACGCGTCTCTGCGTTCCAGCGCACCATCCACGCCAAGCTGATCCTGCTCGATCTCTTCATCCTCCTCATGCTCATCCGGGTGCGGGCGCGGCAACCGCGAGATAGCCTGGAGATGAACGTCCATGGGGTTCGGCGTCGGCGGGTTGTTGCCCGGCGACAGAGGCGAATCAGGAGGAAGAAGGGGTGCGAGGCGGGGTACAGGGCTCAGCTCCTGGTCTGGTCGGAGAGTCGGGTGAGCTGGAGGCGATGGGCGGCGACGGGCTGGAACGAAAGGGTTCGCACCTGCGGCGACTGACGAGGAGGAAGAGAGGGAACGAGTGTGTCCGTGTCCGTGAGCACGTCCCGGGCTAGACGGGATATGGGTGTTGTTCGGACTGTGGAAGGGGAGGTCCGTGGGCGAGATGTACCGCCCTTGGCGCGGGGTCTCGGACGAAGAGCCGGAAGGTTCTGGTGCTTCCTCGTCTATGGGCGTGATAGCGGGTGGCGGTGTCAACGGTGGCGGAGGGGACGTCGTATTTATGGTGGAGGTGCGCAGAGGGGAAGACGCGGCCTGAGCTGCAGCTGATGCCGAATGACGCTGGTTGGGGCGTGAACGACGCATGCGGCGCGAGGTCGAGTGGGTCGAGTCTACGCTGCCGGGTGTCATGCCCGATTCGAGGAGAATGCTCCCGCGCTCGCTGCCGTATGCCGGCGGAGGGGCGAGGGTGCCCACGCTCGGCGCGAGGCCCCATTTCTTCACGTTGGCCTCGATGAACACAAAGCCGCCCTGGCCGAGGTTGACGTGCAAAGAACAAGGGCCGTCTGCGCCGATAGTGGGGAACAAGTTCCACGAGCCAAGTCCGACGAACGCATCTTCCAGTTTACGGCCGTTGCGGGTGAAGAAGACTGTTCCAGAGCGGGGTCGGTATCCAATGCCGAGGACGTCGCCCTCCTTGAGCATTGCGCTGTAAGAGACGTTGGTGAAGGGGTAGTTGTGGGACTTGTCGCCGTTGGAGTGATAAGCGACCGAGTACCGCGCGTGGCCGGGCAGACGGAAGGGCGGGAAGGGTTTCGTGGCCAAGCCGATCGCGACGTTGGTCGTCTCTGGCAGATCGAACATCTTGACCTCCCAGTAGTAGACCTCGTTCAGCTTGGGCAGCGGCAGGTTCGACTGCACCGACGTCGCCGACGCCGGATCCGGCAGGAACGTCAGCTCCGTCCTCGCGTGCACGAGCAGCGACGAGATCATCTCGTAGTCTGGGTCGAACGACCACGCAGAGACGCCCTTTTCCTGTATACTCAGAAACTGGGAGAGCGTGATGTCCGTCTGGGCACTGTTCGGTGGGTACTGCATCTGGTATTCTGCCTGTGGCGTCAGACACTTTCCGAGTATTTACAATGAGCGTTACAAACCCTTTGCTCTGAGATAATTCCTGCGCTCGTTCTCGGATACGCTCTCGAGCCAGCGAGACTCGACGCCCTCGAAGCCGCCCTCGCCCTGGACGAGGTCCTCCCTGCTCATGTCCACCGGCCCATTGTGATCTCCGAGTGCAATACCGCGTCTACGACGGAGTATGACGAGCGATATGAGGAAGAGCAGTAAGAGAAAGAGGAAAGTGGAGAGGACGATGAGGAGGGGGAGGAGGACGAGCAGGGCGTCCCTGCCGTCCTGCTTTGGCGGGTCCTGCCCCGTGATCTGCGGTTGGAGGAGGACGGCCTGTACGACGCCGAGACGGTCGTCGTCAACGCCGGCCATGGTGCTGGGAGTGATGATGGTCGAGTGAGAGTTCAGTTAGAGCCTGACGCGTGCCGCCCCGCCCCGCCCTCTCGGCGCGCCGCGCGAACCCTGCTCCGGACCGCCATTCCACACCCATGTCTGCAGCCACGGCCTCCCCCAAAATTCGCAGGAAATTGTCGACGAGGAGGCCCAGGGCGGGCAGCCACCTCGCCACGCCCCAGAATATCCAGGACTCGCACGAGGCGGCGCTCAGCTCGATTAGACAGTTCCTAAAGGTATGTTCGGCGCCTCTTTCCGTTCGAACAGATCCATCTGTGATTTCCCTCTGGCGGAATATCTCTGTACTCTGGCTGTGGCGAGCTGACTTGCTTTGTCTGTATCAGGCCCGTTCCAGCTACGACGCATTCCCAGTCTCTTTCAGGCTCATCGTCCTCGACTCGAAATTAGAAGTCAAGAAGGCACTGCAATGCTTACTACACAACGGTGCGTACCTGCAACACAGCAATCCAATACGTACCCCTCATCATCTCGCCTTGCTAGGCGTAGTGTCTGCCCCGCTATGGAACTCGGAACGCTCAGAGTTCGCCGGCATGTTCACCGTCTCGGACATCATCCATCTCATCCAATACTACTACCACACATCATCCTACGATTCCGTCGCGGAAGACGTCGAAAACTTTCGCCTCGAGAGCTTGCGGGGTGCGCTTTGTTGTTTCCCGGGTGCCCCTAATCCCGCTGACAGATTGTGCCCGGGTAGATATCGAGAAGAGCCTCGGTGTGGCGACGCCCCCGCTCCTGCGACAACATCCAGACGCGTCCTTGTTTGACGCGGCGAGGTTGCTCATTCAGACCCATGCGCGTCGGTTACCGTTGCTGGACTACGACAGTGAGACCCATCAGGAGGTCATCGTCTCCGTCCTCACACAGTACCGCCTGTTGAAGTTCATCTCCATCAACGTTCGTCTCCCTGGCGTCCCGCTGTTTCTTCCCTGACACTGATCATTTGATCCGTCTTCATACAGTGCGTAAAGGAGATCTCATTGCTACATCTACCTCTCCGCAAGCTCGGGATCGGCACCTACGTTCAAGCGCCTCCTCCACCCGAGGAACGCGGGGATGACTACAACCCATACCACCCGATCGCAACAGCGACCATGGACACCACCGTGTTCGACGTCGTTCACATGTTCTCTGAGCGTGGTATTTCCGCCGTGCCCATCATCGACGAGGACGGTATCGTCGTGAATCTGTATGAGACCGTCGACGTTATCGTGCGTTCATCTCACGTATGTGCTTCGGATAAGGCACTAACGTATTGTCATGGTATAGACGCTCGTACGGCTCGGAGCGTACCAAGCACTCGACCTGACCATCTCCGAAGCGCTTAACCAACGCTCCCCCGACTTCCCCGGCGTAGTCATCTGCACAGCGTCCGACAGCATCGGTACACTTCTACAGCTCATCAAAAAGCGGCGCGTACACCGTCTGGTGGTGGTCGAGGGCGATGAAGAGGAGAAGCGTGGGGGCAGGAAGGGCAGGTTGCTGGGCATCATCTCGCTCGCGGACGTGCTGCAGTACATCACGGGCGAGAAGAGCGTGAACAAGGGCGAGAGGGTGCCTCCGGCTCCGACGCCCGAACCGCCCGCCTCCGAGTCGCCGCCTATTCCAGCAGAGGAGCCTGCAGCGGCAGAACCAGCCGCGGCGCCTGAGATTGTCGAGCCGCCGCCGTCGATACCGGAGGAGACGTCGGCCGAGGCTGTAGATGCGGCGGCGGCAGAACCTGAACCTGCAGCGGAACCTGAGCCAGAAGCCGAGGCAGAACCGGCTCCAGAAGGAGAGCCGGAAACATGACGATCATAGAACTGGGTGTAGCTCTAGCTTTGTTGTACACTATGTATTTCTCATTCTGCTCTTGGATGGTGTGCTTTGTCGTGTGGTACATAAGAGGGCGCGTGTATCTGGATCCACACATGACGCGCGGAAGCTTGACATGCCTTTCTCGTCTTGCACTCACCATCTCCCTTCCTCATCTCGCTTCCCATAATAATGTCAGGCGCGGCGGCGATCCAGTCCGTCGCGGTGAGCGGGTACGAAGAACGCTCTGAACCCAGCCCACACACCGTCTTCCGCCTCGAGATCCGGGCACATGTGCGGTCATGGACGATGTGGCGCCGGTACTCTGAGTTCGACGAGCTCTACACCGAGCTGTCCAAATCGACCGGCCGACCCCCTCCCGCACCACTACCACCGAAGAATACTCTGAGTAAAGCGTTCTCTTTCGGCCGAGCGCGTACGGATCTGGAGGAGCGCAGACAAGGGCTTGAGGCGTTCTTGCGAGCGATTGTTGCTGCGAAGGACCCGAGATGGAGGGACAGTTACGCGTTTAGAGAGTTCTTGGGCGTGCCTGTGGGCAGGGCGGCGGATGCGGGAGGAGCGGGTGCTGGAGGCCAGTTGAGCGCGGCGGCGTGGTTGGACGAGCAGCTCGACGTCGCCGCGGCCATTCGCGACATGCGTGCCGATCTCAACAGACGCGACGCTCTATCAGACGCGGGCGACGTCGGCGGGGCCCATCAGGCGAATGTCCAGGCCAAGAAGAAGTTGGCCGCCGTTCTCACCCGCGTCGGCGCTCTAGCCAGTGCGCTCGATGGTCTCGCACGTGGCGGGATGGCGCAGGGCGAGCTGCAGAGGCGGGCGGATATCGTGGGCAGGTTGCAGGACGACTGCGAGAAGATTGGTCGCATCGTCTCCGCCGCCCGCCACACGTCCCGAGCGCTCAGTCCGCCCAATACCGATTCCGGTGCACCAGCCAGCGATCGAGAGGCTTTGCTCGGCGGTGCGGCCGGAGGAGGGAAGGTCACCCGGGTGTTCGGACAGAAACCGGCCGCTGTCGAGACCGCTGCGACACGACCGCTCGACGATGCCGGGCTATTGCAGCTTCAGCAGCAGCAGATGGATCAGCAGGACAGTCAGCTCGCCGGTCTGACCGCCATCTTGCAGCGTCAACGGCAGCTGGGTGTGGCCATTCACAGCGAGATATCGCAGCAGAACGAGTTGCTCGACGATCTCAACAACGATGTAGATCGCGTGGGGGGCAAGCTCAGTAGCGCAAAGAAGATGCTAAATAGGTTCTAAGGCCCCCTGGATTGTCTCCTGCTTACGACTCACGACTTCACGATGCTGTGTATTATTCACTCTGGATTCATACTCATAGACGTGTGATGGGATTATAGTGGGCTAATGATAAAGGCGTGAAGGGTGAACGTCAAGATAGCGATGTAGATGATAGCGACGGATACAAGTCTATGGTTCCTTCCTGGCAAGAGCCCTTCCAAATCCCTCGAAACAAGCGATCATGATCCCGCACGCCGGCGCGATCTTCGCTATTCGAGGTCCAAGTCCAGCATATAATGCTCCTACACCCTCCGTTCGGACGATGTCCCTCGCCAAAGCCAACGCCATCTGCGGCTTCCCTGCACTTGCGACAAAGGCCTGCTGCCGTGTTTTGAGCGTGTCGAGTGGTCCGGTAAGCAAAGCTGCGAATATGCCACTACATGCGCCTGATGCGAACGCCACGGGAGCGCCACTGTAACCGACCCGCTCTAACCGTCGTTTGCATTGTTCGTATCCGGCCCAATATACCCCACTGAATGGTACATCTCTCGATAATGTCGGCCCCAAACCTCGCCAGAGATATCTTGGCCCGTGTTCGGCCACGAGCGTTCGCACAGATGCTAGTACGGAACGCAGAGTATGTGGCGTATGTTCCGACGGTGGTGTGGATTGTAAGTTCGTCCGCACAAGCTCAAGGGGCGACATTATGGATGAGATGGCTGTTCGTGCGAGCATGCCAGATGTGAGGGGGATGTAGGCGGATTGTTGGGTCGGTGTTGAGGACGAGGCAAAGAGGGGTGGTAGAGCTTCGCGGACGAGGTAGTCGTATGTGAGCATGTACGCTGTTGACGACGGTACTCCTATTACACTTTAATCACAATCAGCACACTTGTAAAGCATTGAATGTACGAGTATACACACAGTGAAGTCCCGGCGCCCTTCCACAGGCCCCTCATGCCCTCCGCCCTCCAGACATGCTTGACGGCGTCATAAAATCCGTTGACGCGTTCTCTCCTGAACACGTTCCCTTCCCACACGCACACGACCTGTTCGGACAGCGTTCTTGAAGCCGAGGCCGAGGCGGCAAGCGAGGACATGTGTCGCGGCTGGGGAAGCTTGGGTGCGCCGCGGACACAAGGAACGTTGGCGCTCGCCGGCTGACAGCATACACCGGGCGCGGGCACACTCACAGATGGCGATGGGCGCGGCGTCTGCAATCGTGTCTTCACTACGTCGAACGGAGTCACTGCACAAGTATTAGCGAACTATACTTCCACGCTTATATCGAAACATACTCGTCAAAGCGGTGATGGTCGAGCCCGCCGCAGCGGCCACCATTTTTGCCGAGAACGGGTCCATGGCGCGGAGGGAGAGGAGGTGAGGGAGGGAGGTGAAAGATTAGAGGAGACGACCTCCACAGTGAGAAAGCGTGAAATCCGCTGCCGGCGTCACCGCTCGGCTCATCGGACTCGGGTCGCGGCTGGCTCCGGATGCCCCTGTCGCGCGTACACCCTCCCGACGCGTCGCTTGCTTTCGACCGTGATGATCCGCCTCGACTGGCTTACTCACTTGACCGTCTTCGACTCACAAATCAGTCCGAGTGTCAGGCTTCTGCGCTCACGTGCTCGAATATCAGAATACTTGTGCAATTGCCGACCCTACACGGTCATCGACTGACGGGTATTGGCAGGCAGACTGCGAGGCAATTTCGATATATCTGCATTCCGATCCGGTTGGCGGGAGGAGCATTGTCATTGCCGCAAGCGTTGGCGGATGACTCTTGACTGAAGTAGCTCTGCGATGACGTCTTATATTTCCATTCTTATCGGGTCAACAACATCTCGCAACCGCTGGGCAATTTGATACCCGCACTGTGGTGGTCAACCTTTTCGCGTATGGAACGCAGAAGAATGCCATCCTCGCACTCGATATTGCTCTCCCTGAGCAACGGTATCTCCGCATCTCCTCCTTGTGTGCGTCCAATATATCTTTTGGGATCGACCCCTGGACGTACAAGACTATATGTCGTACGATGCTTCGAATGTCAAAACGTCGCAGGTCATTCCTTGTACACGGTCCCTTCCGAACTTTGACGTAGCCCCTGCGACGTCGCGGCTGCTATCAACATTGAACTCGTGACATGGCTCGGACATTGCATCCAGCTGCTGTTGATGGGAAAATCGGACCCCATCGTTTAGCGCTCACACGACACAGGTAAGAATGGCGCGACTCTTTCCGTTCGCGAACGAGAAAAGCTGATATCCTCTCACACAACAGACAGGTTCAGTGTGGGGCTGAAAAGCTCATCTCGTCAATCTGCCCGTTCACTTCGAGGAGATAGCCGACGCTACCCACCGCAGGTGCTAGAAGCCTTCTCTGACCACGCGTCGTCGGAGGTGCCCTTCTCATGCCTCGACCTTAGCCGCCATCGCTGAATTGCGCCTACTCCCGCCACTGTCAGCCTCGACGAGCTTCTGCTATTTACAGTACCCGACGGTGATAGTAGCTTACGCCTTGTTGGGGCTCGAAGACCGGGTACCGTCCTTGCCGCGCTCTTCTTGCCATTCATTGTCCGATAGTCTGCGACTTGGACGTCCCCACACAAAGAGATCCGTACTCTTCTACCGGTACGATGTCAGTGTCGCTTCACGTAATGGTGTAGCGTGCTGCAAGGGACGGATGGCTCAATTATTCACATCGCCATGCTGGCTTGCGGCGGATGCCCCACTGTTGTTGGACAGCTCAACCCGAACGTGACTCACTACGCTCACCCGAACTGTCCGGCCAGTCGAAAATTCCCTCTAATGGCCTCCGTATGCCGCAGAGACTTCGTGCGCCTGCCTTGGCAAGACGCACTAGCCATCGTTCGCACATGCAGACCGTGTACACGAGCAGAGCCCCATCGAGCCCACGCACCCCTTCCTCCTCCTTCTCTGCCTTATCGCAGGTAGTTCCGCCAGGATGTTCGTGGGTCTCAAGGGCGTCATACACGGCTTGGTTGACAAGCCTCACCCGGCCCGTACTCTATCTCCTTCAAGCCAACCAGTATAAAGGCGTGTCATGAGGAACGTACTACTCCTCAGGCCAGTCCTCTCACATCTTGTGGTTCACCGGTCCAGCCATGTACGCGCTCTCCGTCGCATTCCTCCTCCCCGCGCTCGCCCTCGCGGCACCCTCGAAGCGTAACATGGTCGTCCATGAGTCGCGCGAGTCCATCCCCAGCGGGTTCACCAAGGTCGGCAATGCGCCCGCGGACCAGGCGATCACTCTGCGTCTTGCGCTCAAGCAGGGCGACATGGCTGGTCTCGAGGAGCGTCTCTTCGCCGTCAGCACACCCTCGAGCGCCGAGTACGGCAAGTTCCTCACCAAGGAGCAAGTACGTCGTGTTCCTGTGTACGATGTGGCACTCAAACTCATCCTCGAACGTGCTTAGGTCGAGGCCTTCGTCGCTCCCAAGCAGGACACTACGGACGCTGTGAACGCGTTCCTCAGCCAGGCTGGTCTTAAGCCTGAGATCATCACCCCCGCCGGTGACCACCTCTCCATCACGCTGCCCGTCGCTCAGGCCAACGAGCTATTCGATGCCAACTTCGAGACGTTTACGCACACTTCGACCGGCAAGCAGGCCGTCCGCGCACTCGCGTACTCCCTCCCTGCCGACCTCGCCCCGCATGTTGAATTCGTACACCCGACCGTCGTGTACGCGTCTTCGTTCATGAGATATATGATTGCATGCTCATCTTGATCCGTGTAGCTTCCCGCAGTTCGTTCGCAACAAGCCGATGGCGAGCTTCCCTCTCCCAGCCAACGCCATCAGCGCCATCACGAACTCGTCGATTACCCCCGACGCAGTCCCCGCATCCTGCGCCTCAGTCGTCACGCCTGCTTGCTTGCAGGCGCTCTACGGAATCCCGACAACGCGCGCCACGCAGACGAGCAACGTCCTCGGCGTCTCCGGCTTCAGTGAGTAGCACTCCGTCTTGTTGTGAACGGGTAGAGACTGACTTTGGCTACCACTAGTCGAGCAGTTTGCGCAGACTGCGGTGGGTATTGCCCGTGCTACTTTCTTTGGACCGATATTGAGTTCAATGATAGGACCTCCGGACCTTCATCACCAACCTTCGTCCTGACCTCCCGGCCACGACGACCTTCACGACACTTCTGGTTGACGGTGGCTCGAACCCGCAGGCTGCCAGGGATGCTGGTGTTGAGGCTGTAAGTTCCTTTTCACCTGATGACACTGACGTCGCTGACGCTGGCATCAGGATCTTGACACTCAGGTGGGTCACCTCGTGGCGTGAGAAGCATGATCGGGGGATGCTCACTTTCAATAGTACACCGTCGGTATTGCTTCGGGCGTCCCAACCGTCTTCAGTACGTCTATCCAATGCATAGCCCAAAAGCTTGTCTCACGACAGCGTATAGTCTCAGTCGGCGAGAACAACCGCGATGGGTACGTCAATTGGATCTCAAGCTCTTGGAGCGAAGGTAGCTAACTTGCTTTACTAGTATCGACGGCTTCCAGGACATCATCACGACGCTCATTGCTGAGAACAACCCTCCCCACGTTCTGACCACGTCCTACGGTTTCAGTACGTCTTTCGCCATAATACTCAATACCGGACATTCCTTCTGACACATCGTGTACTCAGACGAGCCCGATCTCACTACCGCTCTGGCCAAGTGCGCTCTTTCTTGCTTGTTTGATGAATTGATCTGACTACGTCTGCAGCAACCTTTGCAACGCGCACATGCAGCTCGGTGCTCGTGGCACCTCGATTCTCTTCTCGTCCGGCGATGGTGGTGTCTCTGGTTCTCAGTCTCAGGTATATACCCCGTCCTAAGCAGATACTTCCCGGATTTACGCGCCTTTCAGACGTGCACGACCTTCATCCCAACCTTCCCCTCTGGCTGCCCCTTGTGCGTACATCTATCACTTGAGTCTGAACGCCAGAACTGACGAACTGACTTGTCCTCAGCCTGACCAGTGTCGGTGCCACGACCGGTATCACTGAGACCGCCGCAGACTTCTCGTCCGGTGGTTTCTCCAACATCTTCGCGCAACCCTCGTACCAGAGCGCGGACGTCGCCGCCTACCTGGCTAAACTCGGCAACACCAACGCCGGCAAGTTCACCCGCACTGGTCGTGGCTTCCCCGACGTCTCCGCGCAGGGTGAGAACGTTGAGATTGTCGTCGGTGGTCAGGCTGGCCTCGTCGCCGGTACCAGCTGCTCGAGCCCAATCTTCGCCAGTGTCATTGCGTTGCTCAATGACCGTCTCATCTCCGCTGGCAAGGCACCGCTGGGCTTCCTCAACCCCTTCATGTACGTCGCTTTGATAGTCAATAAAGACACGTTGACTCAGAGATATCAAGCTACTCGGCTGCTGGTACCGCTGCACTCAACGACATCACGACCGGCTCAAACCCCGGTTGCAACACTGTGCGTGCTCTGCAGTTCCATCTGAACGCAAGACTGACTTTTCCTTCAGAACGGTTTCCCCGCAGAGGTCGGCTGGGACGTGAGTGCACTCCATCTCTTTAAGAGACTATAGAGCTAACAGTACTCTTTAGCCACTCACCGGTAAAGGGACGCCCTCGTTTTCGCGTTTACTCACCGCTGTCGGTCTCTAGAGCTGCGGTCTTTCAACATTCTTTCATGAACACTCCCGTTTCTCTTTGGTGAACGTGCTGTCGAAGTCTCTGCCTGGGTGATAACGGTTCAATGTATCTTCTTCTGCTGTGCTGGACTCGATGTAACGTAACATTGTAGCAACAATTTGACCAATACCTGTTTGATAGCTGTTGACATGTCTTACACATTGATCGGCGAACTTGGCCCGCTGCACCTGCTCGAATGCGCATGTTCCTGAACATCCACCAGCACAACTGCGCCGATACCTGCGCTCGATACCAGTGACTCTTCGCGTACTTTATCCTACCGACTGTGCCCTGTGCGCCCGCCCGCGCATTGCGCGTTGTGTGCCTGCGCCTGTGAGATCATATCAGCCGGCTTCGGGACCTTGCATATAGATAAACGACGGCGCGCCTGACTCTTTCGGCGTCCTAGCCTTGCCCTCGACTTCCGTGTTCGTCCGTACTATCATACGCGGCCATGGCAGCCTATTCGTGGGCTCTACTGCTCGGTCTCACCCTTACCGCCCGCGCGCTTGCGCAATCGGGCGCTCCGGTTCAGGCTCCTTTCTCGATCCCATCGCCGCAAGCCTACAAGGCGCATGCCTCCTCACGCTCGCGCAAAGTTTTGGGTCCCGATGTAGAGGCCTTCGTGCGGAAGACCATGAAGGATGCTAACGTGCAGGGCATGGCCATTGCTGTAGTGCATTCCGATTGGGGCGAGGATGGCGGGCGGAACCTTGGTGAACCAGACACTGAATTCGGTAGCTTCGGTATCAAGAGTGAGGATGGGGATGCTATGACTAGCGATGTGAGTGGGCCTTGAGCTCCTAGGCGTCTCCCATGCGTTTCATTGTACCTGTCTGCTCATCGGGGACCTTTGAACCGCTCGATCATCGCCGTGATCAGTACACTGACGCGATTTTTTGTACTAGACGTTGTTCACGATCGCATCCTGTTCGAAAGCCTTTCTAACGGCTGGTATGAGCATCCTCATGGACGACTTTGCGAACGGTCGCAATGTAACTGCGCTACCCCCAACACTGTCGAAGCTGAACTGGGATACCAAGCTGGCCGCCTTGCTACCGGGAGAATGGAAGCTTATGGACACATGGGCGGAGCGCGGGGCGAAGTTACAAGATATCTTCTCGCATACGAGCGGTCTCCCGAGACATGACTTGGCCTACTCCCGCAATGATACACCCGTGAGTGTTCTGGCGCGTTTGGACAAGCTGCGTCCGGCCTTTGAACTTCGTGAACGCTACTCGTACAACAACATTGTGCGTCTGGTCTTGAACAGTAACAAGTTCCTCGGGGCCAAGGCTGAGATTATATGTGCAGATGTACATGATAGGCGCCCACATTCTCGATACGTATACGGGCGTGGGCATGGAGCAGTTCATGCGCGATCGCATATTTGCCCCACTCAACACGAGCTTGACGTACTCTCCAGCCGAAGCTCAAAATAGCGGGCGTGCTACGCAGACGTGGACGAAAGATGGTCGAGCTTTACCGTGGTGGTTCACCGAGGACGATTATAAGCTAAGCGCCGGACCTGGCGGTGTCATCGCTGATACAGAGGGCCTGGTGCGGCGTTCCTTGTCCAACAATGGATTAAGACTGAACATTGGCAGGCCCGCTGGCTGAAAGTTCTTCTACATCGTGGCCGCGATCCTGTAACGAATCTCACTATCATTCCGGCCGACTCGTTCGAGCGTGTTACGACAGCGCGTACCATCGACGTTGGGTCGGGCAGCACCACGGAATCCCTTTCTGGGTACGGTCTTGGCTGGATGCGGGTCTCATATCGAGGGCACGATGTTCGTATCATTCGCTTCTCGTCACGCCGCCCTGCCATTTCTGAAGATATCTGTATAGATCGTGTGGCACAGCGGTTCAGTGCCGGGGTTTGCCACGCTGGTCATGTTTGCTCCGTACGACGGCGTCGGACTTACCATACTGACCAACGGCGATGACCAGGCCAAGCCTAACAAGGACATAGCATGGCGACTATTTGAGGCTGCATTCGGTCTTGAGCCGTCCGCTACGTTTCGTCCACCGCTAGCGGACCCCGAGGAGCCCGAACGACGCGCAGCATCGGCCGAGACGGCGTACAAACCCGCGCCTACAGTCGATCTAATAGGCATTTACAGTGCCCCAGGCTATGGCGACGGTTTCGAATTGTGTTCGCTCTCGAGCGCCTCTCCGTCATGCGCTCAGACACTCGCAGATTTCACGGCTGTCGCAGAAGCGTCAGGGCACCCTCTCAACACAGCCGACTTGTATGCGTCTTGGCCGCGTCTCTGGGGAAATAACCTGCGCCTCGAACATATCAGTGGGACCCGTTACGGTTTCCGCCCCAAAGAACTCTTTCCGGAGGGTCATGGTCACAACAAGACCGCTTTTGAGATTCGCAATGACAGTCCGGAACGGGGAGAAGCGCCTTGGGCGGATTTCGTACTTGAAGACGGGCGCGTCGTCGGCTTCGGTCTCAGTGGCACGGTTGGCGAGGAGACGTTGTCGGAGAAGGAGGGTGAAACAGTGCGGGAGACCGCCGACGCATGGTTCGTGAGGCAGACATGAGCCCACTGGCACTTGCCCGACTGCATTGTGACGGTAAACTCTATTTGCGAGGAGATTGTGAATGCACTCAAGTTACCGCCGGCTGAACTGTATGGTGTTGATGGCCCATGGTGTATTAGACACGATCGGTGCTGTGTTGAGCGATTTGTCACGCCCTGAGAATCCCATTCGATGCAGGGAAAGCAATTAAGGTCGAGATGGCCAACGAAGATGCGCCGGCGCCGGCGCCGGCGCAGTGAAACCCTATCCCTCTCTCATTCAGGCGCTCCTGGTCTTCACTAAGGGATCACCGCACCTGACGGTGCGCATGTAGTCCGATACCCGATAGCGCAAAATCTCTCCGACAATATGTAAAGGCGCCATCTGGTTCTGGTTATATCAAGGGCGTGAGCGCTTGACTCCCAGTCAAAGACCTCAGCGAAGCTGAGGTGTGGCAGATTCCAGGCCACGGATTTACACAGGCGCCGAGGTACGAGCCTTACTTGGGCTCGAGCCTGGTCTGAAAAGGCACGGCCGTCGTCATTACTGACAACTGCGAATGCCCATACTTGCTTAGTCTCGATTCATGCACTCAACGGCGCGCAGACGCCGTCAAATGCACAGGGCCAAAGGCCTGGCATGAACCTAACATGAGGAAATAACTTCATTCAGACATGGCCTCTCGCGGTCCCACGTAACTCTGGCAAGGGAATTGACCAAACCAGTTTAATGCCTGTATCTCGCCAGGCGCATCGCCATCTTCAGGCCGCCAGCGGAAAACAATTTCACTGAGACTGCGCCGAGATGGCTTGTTACAGCGGTGTATACAACAATTTCGGAAAAACAGTCAACCATCTGTTCTGAATCAAGGCGCAGGAGAGAACGTACAAGGGCGTCGGCAACCGACGCGGAAGATATTCACGAGATGGTTCTGGTAGTAGGTGCGGAATATGATGAGGCTCAGAAGGGTTGTAAAAATGAGAGATACATCACGGATGCGCGGGCCACCACCCCATCAAGTTCCTCTTCTCGTGTGTAGCGTGCGCGGGTGGAGGGGGCCACGGATTGAGGGAGCGGATTGCAACGATGTAGTCGTACATATCAATATCATAGAGCGCAACGACTCTAGAGCAGATATCATTAGGGGAGTATTCGAAGCGGCAGAGAGAAACGATACGCACATTGAGCCCGTCAATTATCGTCATCATCCACGACGAACTTATGTTTTCCCATTTGAGAATATTCCGTCATACCCTTTCCGCTTCCAGTGACGCCGACTGGGATTTGGATTCATCAGATCACTGAGGACGATTCACAGGACATGAGACGTACCTCGGCCCAATGGATTATCGGGAGTCTTGAAAATACTCGTCCCGGAAGTGCCGGCGATGTGTACACCCTTCTTATCTGCCTTCTTAGCAAATTTCTGCCATGTCTGCTGCTTTTGGTTTTGCTCCTTCGCCTTTGCAGCGCGGACCTCAAGCTTCTTCTCGTTCTTGCGCTTCTTGCGCTCCCTCTCCTCCTCCTCCTGAGGCGTGAGCTTGCGTTTGTTGGCATAGGCAGAGCTCTGCAAGTAGTTCGGCGGGAGGATCTTTAACGCCGCTGCGTCCACGATCTCGGTCGAGTTATAGCCCTTGAAGACGATGCTATACACGGGTTTCTGGGAGGAGCCACCAACGGAGGTGATACGGGCGGGGTACCAGCTATTGTCGCCTGAGTACTTCGCCAAGCATTCATCTCCAGCAGACCACTTGTGTGCAGGCGTAGATGTAGATGTCTTGCGGGAAGCTTCTGCGCGCGATGATGCAGCTGCCTCACTTTCTGCAATGGACGCGCGCGTGAGCTCGATAAGCTCCTTAAGCTCGGAGCGAAGAGAGGTAAGCTCAGCGTTATCGGGATCGACAGCGAGCGCCTCGTCGACCTGTGAGAGCTGCACTTCATATGTTTCGAGATCCTTCTGGCTCATGGTACGACGGGCAAACGACACAGGGATAACGCGAGATGGAAGTATGGGACAATGGGCGCGGGCACAAGCGCGAGCCATGTGGTCACAGACCACGTGCGCGCCATGTCGCAGCTTTCATCTTATGTACTGGACGCTCGTCTTGATCTTGCATAAGTACTTTGGTTATGAGATTGACATGGAGTTATGAACAGCACGAGCACACGGCATAATAGAGAAGTTCGAAGAGACGAAAAGAATGTATTGGCAACAGTGGATAATAGTAGGAGGGCGGTGCATTGCGGTAATCCCTTAGTCAGCGTATGCTCGTCTGACACTGCCAGTAAATGATGGCGGACGTGTGTATTTGGACAAGGGGATAGGATATGGAATATTGCATTGACAGTGAGCATGCGCAGCAGGAACATTCTTCAAAAAAAAACGACAGATGTGAATGTGAATCCCGGTGATCATCCACTTGAACGCCGCTCGCGGCGAGTTAATAGCGCCGACCCGCACCGCCGTCAGTCTATGCTGTCCGAAAGTTAGTCTACCGGGCCCTTCAGTACGTTGCGCAGTGCCAAGTTCTGAAAACCGGTCAGCCAATGAGATGACAGAAGATGACGCGCGAGACTCACCGCACGCTCGAGCTCCCTGAGTTTCTGCTTTTGCAGCGTTGAATCGTGCTGAAGACCAGCAACCAAGCTCTAGTTGTATCCGATCAGTACGCAAACGCGCAGGTGCAGGACGGAAAGACGCGCACCCTTGCCGTCTTATCGTTGAGACCTTTCCAGGGCTTGAGGTCGTCGGCTGGCACCGGATAGCATTCCTTCGCATGGAGTTTCTCATGCAACTCGTCGATGTACGCTTCTAAGCTCGCCTGGTAGATGGTCCTACGGTTTGGTGCGCTCATAGTTGCACTGCGTCCCGTTGAGTATAACGCCTACGATGCAACAGCAAGATCCTGGTACTCACATTTCCTGAGGAGTAAAGATAGATTTCTCCATCGTATGATTCCATACTTTCCTTCGTTTACCCGCTTCCGCCTGTTTCTTGGCGTATATTCGAGCATATGGGTGAGTCATGGCCAGCTTCGAATGTGGACGCAGAGTGTGATCGCCACCTCGAAAAGGTGCGGGTAAACGGTGATCGGCAGGAGGTAACAATGACTCCGTGTAAGTCTGCGGGAAAGGGTGGAATGATGTGCTGGATATCGGGGTCATGGGAGATGGTGTACAGAATCCATCTTCAGAGGACGAAGAGCTGGGGGAATCTGCAGTAGAAAGACGCAGAGAAGGCCACACAGGCCCCGACGCGGGCGCAACCATGGGACCGATGGATTGGTCGTTCGTTGAGTAGTAGGCGTTCATGAGCAGTATACAGACGCGCAGCGGAGATGGCCCAGTGATAAATTCACGCCCGCGCGACTTATATGCATAACGCACATCCGCATACTGCAGCAAGTGATGATGGTTGGAGACAAGGATGGTCCGCGACCCGACGGCGCGGCGCGCGGAAGCGCCTTACCAAGGCCTTGTCCATCCCTTCTTTGGCGAGAACGCCCATGTCAATCTTCACCAATCTTCGTCAACGACAAGTGGGAGTTGGAGGCAGTTTCTCGCGCTCGAATCGTACGCCCAGAAAGGCTATCCCGGCTAACTAAAACGCCATTCCCACCGGGCATTCGTGGTTTACACCCCGAGCTGCCACCCGTCGATGTCCCTCCACAATCTAGCGCTTCTCAGCTAACAATCTGGCGCCGATGGATCTCGAGGCCGGGCAACTCTAACTTCCGTTGTAGTAGCCGTGCGCTGCGCGGTCACTTGAATCTGGCTTTCGACTTTTCTGGTACAAGTCGTCGCCCTGGTGCCAGTGGTTGTCTTGCCTCCGCGTGCTCGTGTATCGCTCTAATGCCCTCGATGACCAGCATCAGCGGTAGATGTCTAGACTCTTGGTCGCCGGGATCACCGCATTCTACAGCTTGTACGTCTCTCGCCTGTTATGCAATGCCTGTCGAGGCAAGAAATCCCATGCCGTCGGCACTGACAAACACATCTCCGAGCGTCGAATAGCCCTACCGACGATTCTAAGATTAACGGGCCCAACGTGCACGGCAAGAACGGATGACGGTGATGTTCTGTTTGTTTCAGACTCGCGTTCTTCGGTCGGGTCTCATGGCGCGCGGCTGCGTGGTCGCAAGAGCTGGTGTTAGCCAGTTGCCTGTAATGGCAGGCTCTTTCTCATTCGGACTCACATGTACGTAGTGAATTTCAGCGCTTTCCGTTTCGGCAAGTGATAGTTCTGTGTCTCGCCCGTCAGCTTAAAGTGCAGGACCGCCAGCTTGAACGGAGGTGTTGCCCCGCTCTGATCTCTACGTCGTCATGGATTCCGAGACATACCAGGGTTATCCTCACTATGCGCCTGCAGACTATGGGTTATATCACTCGTCTCAGGTCAGTCTCGCGATCGCCATACCTTTAGCTAAAGCTTACATATATACAAATAGTCACCCTCTACTGGCGGTGTCTATACGGCGGACCAATCACAATGCCTTGTAACCGGCGGTCGACTGTCTCACAGCCAGCTCACCGGTCCTGTATACCACCATCATCCCCAGGATGGCGCTTACTCCCACCACCACGACCACCCATATACGACTCAGAGCCTGTATCATGGTGTAGATCCTGTCTACGCCCATCCTCCCGTCGACACACGACCGTTCGCTGATAGATATGCGCTTACGACTGGGACCCCGGCATATCCTTCAAGTGCAATACGTACGACAAATGTGCCCCTGCACTCGCCCCATCCTGTCTCCGCAGCTTCCGCTCCTCTACTCGATGCTTTGTACGCCCCATCTCCTGCTTCATCTTACTTGCCGAGCGAACACCACCTTTCCATGGCCGACTTCGAGGGTTCTCGCCGTATGAGCGTCCCCGATCTACACAGCCAGCACTATCAGACCGACTTCGTGCACACTCCCCAGCCCCATCCTGATGGATCACGTCGCATGAGTGTCCCCAATCTGCACTATCAATCTAGTACTGGAACCGCATGCAGGCCGACGACCTCGAGAATGGCTACCTCTCACTTACCGATATCCGTTACCGCCGAACCGCCGCCCGTATTCCAGTCCCCGGATTACGGCGCGCCATCCGCACCCTCGTTATCGTATCCGAAAGCCCAGCTGGCGCCGCAGGGCTCGGGTGCTGACCTCATGGAATACTACGCAAACCTTCATCGTGAACCGTTCCAGACGCCGTGCCAATTGCTCGATACACTTCTCAGGAGTGGCTCGTCGGGAACTGGAAACCCGCAGCTCGATCCCCTTCCCATGGAGCAGTCGCGAGAGGATAAGGAGAAGAAGCAGACGGAAACGTCTCGTCAAGCTCGCTTGCGTTATGTGTCCGAGTCTGTTGGGTTCCAGACAACAGACCCGTACGTATCGACCTCTGTTGTGCGACGCGATACCAACGCTGATCGTTATTCAGGGACACCATGTCCTGTCATGAGAAGAAGCGCAACTACATTGAGAGCCTTGGTACGTCTATCATCGGGACTACATATAATGACGTAGATATTCACCCCTCGGCAGAGAACTACGTCGGCTGGCTGCGCTCCAAGTGTGAGCTCGACGGGGTCGAGGCGGGGGAGATTCGGCGACTGTCTGGCCAGCGCCTTTCAGAATACAAAGGCTTGAATACGCGCAGCGTTAGGGTGCGCCCCATATCTTCAACGCTTCACGCGCTGTCGTCTTGACCGAGAATACCAGACGATGATTGTGCACATGCAGATGATGCTCCGTGCAGACCACTTCGACACCCTGCGGGAAGAAGGTGATGTAAGTTGACCTGCGTTGGACCGTTTGATTGTGCAGCTCACTAATCATCTTGTAAAGTTCCTTCATCTGCGTGAACGTGTAATGGCGCAGGAAGAGGAAAGGGCGTACGCTGGCTCCGCTCAGATGAGGCGCGGTCTCTGATCCCCATAGCTACCATTATCTTGGACTTGATGTTAACGCTTGTATAGTATGTAAAGCTTCTTGAGATTGTCAAAGAATGTTATGCTAGTTGCCTGCGATTTGATGAGAAGCTGGCGTTGCTGTTACCGGTGCGACGGCGAGTTACTCAAGGCAAAACACATCGCGACATCGCTCAAGCGTAACTATCATTTTATTCGTACAATGAGTCCATAGAGATCTGTCGCAGTACTCGATACATTGAGCAGTCCATATATTCATAAGGTCCGTCCATCATCGTCCAATCAAAACTCCTGGTAAGCAGGGGGCGGCGCGGCGCCGTCTTCGTCGTCCTTGCGTTGTGACGGTGGAGGCACGCCTCCATGCAACATGCGCTCACGCTCTTCCCTCTCCAGACGCTTCTTCTCGTCCTCGGCACTCGGATAGCCGGGCGCACCAGTGCTAGTCGAGGCGCCACTGCCATGCAGCAGTCGCTCCCGCTCCTCCCGCTCTAAACGCTTCTTCTCGTCCTCGGCACTCTCGAAGCCACCCGCACTTGGACCTGCCGCCGAGGAGGACTCAGGGAGTGCGAAGGAAGATGGTGGTGGCAAATCTGCGTGGGGCCGTGTGGGAGGCGAGCTCGCGTTGCGCAGGTCTTTCAGCGAACCGCTGGCGGGACCAGGATCGCTTGCCTTGGCCGCGATAGGAGTACCGGTCTCCGCAACAGTGGGTGTCACACTCGGTACCTTGACCTCAGGCTCAATCGGGTTGGGAGCAGCGGCTGACGCAGGCGGAGAAACAGAAGTAGGCAACTGCGCCGGTGCATTGTTCAACGAAGCAGGGTCAATCGGCGGTGAGGCCGAGGAGCCGGGCAGTGAGCTTTGCGAGATGTTACCTCCCAACGGCGATGCATGAGTGACAGGGCTGGTCACAACAGGGGATTTCGCAGAGATGGGGGCGGGCGCGGGCACCACAGGTGATGCCACCGCCGACTTCTCAGGCACGACCGGCAGCGACGAGGCGGAAGAGGGCTGGTCATGAGAAGCAGATATGGCGGGAACTGCGATCGGTGCCGCTGTCGGCTTCTCTGGTGCAATAGCAGGACTCTGAATTGGGGGAGGAGGAGAGGCGGTGACCCTGCTGGGTCCAGTGTGTGGAGACTCCGAATTGATCTTAGAGATCTCAGCAGCGTGCGTCTCCCCGAACGCCCTAGTGTGTGAACGGTCAAGGAGGGCACCGGCGCCAGCCTTCAGCGTAACCTGGCCGGGTTTCCAGCTGTCGAGCGAGGCCTGGAGGGCGGCTCTGACTTCTCCGGATTTCTCGTGGCCGCCGTATGAAGTTGTAGGGACAGACGGCAGAAGATCGAGAACGGGACCGCTAGCTTGGGCGATCAGAGACAGCTTCTCGCCATACTATAATAGGGGATCCGTGAGCGTCGCACACAATCAGCGTCAAGTCAAGCTCACTGACCTCCCGAAGCGCTTCAAATTTCAGAGCCTCGCTCTCTCGGATCGCCTTGCGCTTGATGATCTCGGCCTCCTTCTCTGCCCCCTCGTCATCCTTCTCAGCCTTGCGAAGCTGATCGCGAAGCTCTACCACGCGTTTCTCGTAGCCTTTGTCCTTGCTTTGCTCAAGACGATCGATCTGGGTTTGCAGTTGGGCGCGAGCCTGACGACGAGGAGCAAGCGTAGCGTCACTGTCACGCAAAGCCTTGAGAGGAGTGCGTGCTTGATTTAATTTGGTCGCGAGCGTGCCCGCGAGCTGGCCAGAGACGTAGTTCAAGAAGGCCAGCCGATCCGAAACTAATGTGTTTAATTGAGCAAGAAAACGACTCGACAGATCAGTATACAAACGAACCATCTTTAAGATCCACGTCTTCGCCCTTTCCCCACATATAAAGCTCCTTGCTCTGCGCCTGAGTGTCGCGATTGACCGCGTCAAAGTCGAGCGCCACTCCCTTCTCGGTTGTCACGATCCTCTGAACGGGACCGACATTACTACAAGCGGAATGGCATTTCAGTCCCCCGCGGTCATGGAAATCGGATCGCAAAATTGTCCGCACCCATACTGGATCTGGAGAGAGCGGAATTGGTGTTGGAGTTGAGCAAGAGTCGCGTTCCCGGTCGAGCCACTCTCGCCCGGCGTCGTCGGCCGACCCGATCCCGGGATGTGTTGCCCCAACGAGCTCTTGTTGAGTGCGTCTTGGGCCTTGTCAGCGAGCCCTGAGATAAAGCTGGGAAGAGGCATTGTGGTGGTCGTTGAGGAAGGTAGCGGATGGTCACCGCCAGGAACTTATATATGCGATGACGTAGGGCGACGCGCAGCCCACCATCCTTGCCTTCTGTATCGCCATCCCGCAGTTGCTGCACCGCAACACGGTTTTGCGCGACCGCTGACTCCATTTCAACTACATAACACAGTGCGATAGCATTCAAAAGAAGAAATACAAGATAAAAACCGAAGAACCATTCTACACTCAAACGACGATCTTCCTCTGCCCTGACTTGCCCTTCTTCTCCGAGTCCTTGTGCGACATGAATTCAACCTCCGTTGCAAGCGGACCGGCCAACTTAGCGGCTTCGTTATAACCAAGCACACTTATCTTGAAGTGCTTGCCAACCGACTCGATGCGCTCCTTCAGCTTGTCATCCTCGGAGCTCGGCGCCTGACGGGTCCAAATAGACAACCGGTAGAACTGTGGACGTGTCGACACGATGACGCCAGTGATAAGAGAAGGTGTGCCGGGGGGAGTATCCGGCTGGGTCAAGTATGGGTCAAACGTCTCGCCGATCGCAGCGAGCATCTGTAAAGACCGTCCAGGTTAGATTGAGCCATGCTCTCAAGAGTGCGAGCGGAGACATACAGTATAAAGCCAAAACTTGTCAACGTGACCGCGATTCTTCTCCCTCGGTAACTGGATGCTCCACTTGCCACCGTTTTTGTTGGCCTCGTCCTCCCAAGCAGGGATGATGCCGTCCTGTGGGTCATCTCAGTACACGAAACGGCTCATAGACGTATGTTAGCTGACTTTAAATAGATAGTAGTTGGCCTTTTGCGGCAGTTGTGACGGCGGGACGATGTTGTTGTACATTCTGTGAGTGGTTAGTCAGCATCAGCGACAGAAGATGTCGTTCGCGCACCCCCAGAACTCCTCAACACTGTCGAACTGGATAACACGCTTGATATCTTCCATCCATCCGAGGGCCGCACCAGGCGTTTGCGGCACCGGAGTTTGTGGGAATGCCGTTGATGGTGTCTGTGGCAGATTACGACCCTTGGTTGCGGGCGAATCGAACCAGAGCGTCCAGGTAGAGTAGAGCGGGTGCTGCCACCAGTATGAGCAAATCGCCGACATTAGCAAAGACGCAAGTCACGTACTTTCACGTTGAAGTTTGTGGGGTCATTGAACACGGTGCGTATCTGCTCGGCCTGAGCCTGCATGTCGACCTCGATTTCTTGGATTTCTCCGGGCTCCTCGGTCTCCGGCTTGTCGGCAGAGTTGGCATCCGCGACCTCCGACTTGCCATCGGTACCTTCAGTGATACCGTGCGCGCGCAGCGCAGATTGCACGGCAGCGCGCGAAGCCTGAAGCGCAGGTGCCGGGAGAGAAGACGCGGCGGACATCTTGCAAGAACTGAACTATCGATGCAACCAAAGAGTCGAATAAAGCGCAAAAGTTTCAGACGAGCAAGCAGTAAACGCGAAAGCAGTGGCGATCTAGCGCGAGTATATTATAATAAGAGACAGCGGTGCTCGGTACCCTGAGGAAATGCAGTCGGATCGCCTTGATGGTCGTTTGTGAGAGAGCAATGCGAAAGATTCTCATGAGCCATCACGTCGGCCGGCCCGTCTCCCGAATGTACCTAGCGATGCGAAGCGCATTCGCGCATGCAACCTGAGAGTACTATACAAGATACGTGTATCCTACAAGATATATAGCGCGTAGCAAATCTACAAGCCTGCCATCAATCCCAACCCGAGCTACGGTCAAGCTTCACGCGCGGATCCTGTTTGGCCTTCGAGCCTTTTGCGCGGCCAGCTCGTTGGGCGCTGCGTTTGGTGTGATACTTGCGCTGTTGGCGCGCGTACGCCCGAGAAGCATCCGATACAGCCCTCTCCTTGACAAGATCTGACTGTCCCCGATCTTCGAGCGTGAGATTTCCAGCCTCGTCCTCCAGGGACGACGCGGATGAAGAGCGTGACGGTGGCAGCGGGGATTCGCGCCCTGTGTTTGGCGCTGTCTGCGGAGAATGCGGCTCAGAAAGCACAGGGTCAGCCCGTTCCCGTTCTGAAGATGGTCCACCTTCATCTCGCAGCGGGTCGGTGCCTACATCATCCTCGACGCCTTCGCTGTCTTCCTCCTCCTCTTCTTCTTCTGATGCGGAAGCACTCTCGCGCTCTTCATCCTTGATAGTCGACATGTACTATTACGGCCACGCGTCAGCTCAAATATAATCAGGCGAAAGGAGAATATCGAGTACCTCTTCGAGCACTTTTTGATCTCTCCGACTGAATCCGCTGGCTGCCACAACGACGTCCAATTGAAAATCCTCCTCGCCCCCCTGACCGAGTGTGCTCCTGAATCTAGGGTAGATGGAACTCTCGTATTGGAAACGCCTGCGAAAGAAGGTTCTGATACATTCAACGTCGCGGTTGAAGTACCTGACAGGAGTGTAAGGAGGCGTCGCATACAGAATGTCTCCGAAGTACTCACCATTCAGCGTTCTCATGAGATGTACTAACCATCTGCGGGAAGTCGATTACGACAGGTTCGCCAGTTGTCCGGCCGATCAAGATGTTAAACTCATTGAAGTCACCGTGGATAAGGCCTGCCCGAGCGAAGCGAACAATGAGGTCCATCAGTTGGGAGTAGAGCTTTCCTGGTGAAGGCACTTCGTCTATCTGACGACTGCATGACGTTGAGCCACGTCCAAGTTGATGGCATCCCAGACACGTACAGCGGGTAGGCATCAATGAAGCCCATAAGGATACAGTGGCGCGCCTGGTCTATCGGTCTCGGGACCGGGAAGCCATGCTCGTGGAGTACCTGGTAAGAAAGTGAGGTTGATTCAAACCGAGTACTGCACGCGGGCTCACCTTCATGAAAGCCCATTCCTTTTGTGCAGAGAGTCGCGACATGTACATCCATGAGGCAGATTTGCGCTTCCCCATATAGTCACGCTTGCTCTTGATAGCGCGGAAAGACACGCGTCCTAACCTGATCTTGTTTAGAGCGTCGGCTGTATTGGATATGGCGCGCGCCAACACACCTATGCAACTTCAACACCATCTCGTTTCCTTCGGCATCTGCTACCATATAGATATCTATCGTGTGGCTCAATTAGTACTGATGTATTCGCACGCTTTGGGCAAGTCTTACCGGACTCTTTCCCCACGCCAATCTGGTTACCCACGGAATACATCGAATCGCGTTTGGACAAAGTGCGCATTGCAAGGTAGTCGTAACCGCCGTATGTCAATCGGTAACCATCATCTGAGCCCGTCTGCGGATGAGCGAGCGACCTCGCTACTGAGGTGGCTGAAACGCACATCGAGCATTCTGCACTCGGGCTACCAAGTTCCGCTTTGCGAGGCTGCCGATCAGCTTGTTCACTCCGCCGTTGCGCAAGCCAGAAATTTGCACAATCAGTTGTGTGGGTACGATCTCATGGTTCTTGGAGCCCATTTCTACCTGGAAGATGTAGGCAAACTTCGTCGCATCTTTTAGAGAAAGGCATGCGCACCGCGGTTAGCACCCTGAACTCGTCAGAGGTTACATAGCGAAGATCTGTGGCATCGAGCTTCATTCTTCAAAGCCTTGCTACAGGTTTCACGTAGGCGCAAAAGTGGGCGGGCAATAGAGTCTCGTACGGACGGCGCCGATGGATGCTCGAAGACGAAAGAAGACAGGGGCAAAAAGTTGCGAAAGGCGCAACTCGGCAAATGCCGTGATTTATAGTTGCGCGCGCCGTTCGGCGGCGTCAGCGCCACGCTCTTGACCACCACACGTGCTAGTTCTGCAGTATCGACTGAAATATGGTTCGCGCTCGCGCTCTGCTTACATTCTTTCCCTGATACCCAAGGATAATAAGACCAAGAAACTCAGTAGAGCTAATAGAGTGAAACGGGCAAATAACGTGTGTTTTCCTGGTCTGACCACGGGCTCGGGCGTTGAACTTTGCGCACAGACTAGTTCAGAACAGCTTTTCACGGATTTACCTGATATACTGGATAGCGCGAGCGCTAGGTATGGCTATTGCATCTGACTCTTTTTTTGGCCGTAGCAAATGGAATGAGACGTTTTTCAGCTTTGCAACTCAAGTAGCCAGGGCTTCTGAATTGGCGGAGTCCGATCGCGAGTCTATCTTCATGCTCTGGGAAATGAACATGAAGGCGCTGTAGGCCTATTTCTGCGTGCACCACTTCTGCCGACATTCAGTGCCCAATAGGTATATGAAGTCCACGTCTTTACACTTCAATCCCGAAGAAAAGCGGCAAGAGCTCTTTCATTCCGACTCCCGCTTTATCCTTTATCGACTCTTGGATTCTCAAATGATAGCTGCGTATACTATGTTCAGGTTTGATTTCGAAGAGGACGAGCTCGTACTGTATTGGTACGTGTGCACTCAATGCATACTGGAGTACACATCGCACTAAGCGCCGTTCAGCTATGAGCTTCAGGTCTCTCCAGACTTTCGGAGGCACGGCCTTGGACGCTCTCTCATGAGCATGCTATTGATTCTGAAGCAGCGATGGTCAATGGAGAAAGTCATGTTGACGGTCTTCAAGGGTATGCTCCCTTTGACCTGATGTTTGCATGCCCTGCTGAACAGGGATATAGCGAACGAGCCTGCTGTTGCGTTTTATCAGTCCACGGGGTAACTGCTAAGCACCTTCATCAGCGAAAACTGTACTGAATCGCGTTAGTTTCACGCCTGATCCAATATCGCCTGAATGGGAGGATGAAGAGGATTATGTCATCATGTCGCATAGCGGCACTGTCTGAGCGTAGTTACCTTTACGGGCTGAGTAGGACTGCGTGCAACTACTACCGAAACCGAAAGTCAATCAACTCGGCCTTGCGTGGGCGCGGACCGCAAGTTCCCACGAGCCCCGCCGGCGCGCCGAGCAAGGAGTGAACCGTGCTCCGACTCGCGTACCACCACCTCCACACGATTGTTACCATGCTCCCGCAAGCCCTGCCGCGCGCGGCGCGTGCAACCGCACCTAGAGCCCTTGCCAGCAGGCGATACGCCTCGCACGGCGCCCACTACAACGAACCGACTGGCAACCTGTTCGGCGAACCGGTGCGTTTGCAAACTGTGTCAAGTTGAAGGCCAGCATCACTGACTCCTCATACGCGTAATCAGCCACTGGCACCCGGTCAGAAACGCAAATGGGAGTGGTGGGAGCCGCTTTGGTACTTTGGCATGTACGGTGGGATGGCGGCGGCAGCGGTTGGCTTGTACTTCAAGCCGGACACCAGGTGCGTTTCCACTTGACATCCCTACTTTCTGTCTTCTTACATCCCATTCAGCATCAAGACCTGGGCGCTCAAGGAGGCCAAGGCACGCATGGAGGCTCGCGGAGAGGCGACAGACTATGCCTCGTACAAGGCGGCCAAGGAAGGCGCATAACTCTACATCCATGCCGTGCTCTCGATATCCATATTTTCCGTTTACTGTTCCCGCTACGTTCTATACGCAATGGCAATTCTGAAAGTAATCTCTGTTGAAGAGTAGATGCGAGTGTCTAAAGGTAATGTAGTGTGATGCAAGACAACGACCAGAAACTCCGAGTGAAATCATGACTCGCAGTGCTCCTTGTAAGCCTCGGCTGTCAGGAGCTCGTCGAGCTGTGGGAACAGGAGGTTAGCACACAGTCCGGCCATGTATCTGCCGCAAACAGATTCGTACCTCCGCCGGATTCTCGACTGCGACCTTGAACAACCAGCCTGAAAACGTACAAGTATTGTGAGAAAGAAGCAATAGATGGTTGTGCGTCCAGGCGACGTACCCTTGCCCTCCGGAGACTTGTTGAGCAGAGACGGCTGGTCTGCCAATGCAGAGTTGATCGCAACGACCTTGCCGGAAACGGGCGAGTACTAAGCGCGCATGTCAATAAAGCGCGAAGCCTAGACAAGACAGTCTTGACGTACAATGTCAGACGCGGCCTTCACGCTCTCTACTGCACCGACAGAATCTATCCAGACCGACTTAGTACACAAGTTAATAATATTAGATGTAACGCGGGCGTACCGCCCTTCTCCACAGTCGAGCCCTCTTCGGGCAGTTCGACGAATACGACGTCGCCGAGGCTCGTCTGCGCGTACTCAGTAATCGTCACGGTCCCGATCTTGGTCTCGTCATCGAACTGCACAGACTCGTGGTCCTCCGAGTACTTGGTAGCTAGAAACGCGTCGGGTGTGAGCCCACAAGCCATCGTGAGACGCCGGAAGTGCTCTACGCACTGACAAGCGTGCGTGCCCATTGTGCGGGTCGGACAATGCGCGCCTGGGCGGGCACACGTACGGCGCGGAGCGCACCGGCAGAGCGAGAGGCGTGACGGACCGCAGAGAACATTGTGCAGCAAGACGAGGTGTTCGTCGGGGTCGTGTTCAGAGAGCGCGCAATTATTCGACCGCCGCGGCACAACGAGGGCGGAAACACGGAGCGGCGTCCGCGCCCAGTCGGGACCCGCCTATCTTCACGCATAATAAAACAGGCCTTGTCCGCATGTGGCGCACATCTCTCGATCGGGAGCAAACGGAGGATTATAGACTTTTTTACATTAGCGAGTGGTGAGTATATGCAAGTGTCTACTCTGATAGCGAGGCGAAACGTGAACAATGAGATGTGAGAGGTGGACTGCAACTAGTACGGGAAAGCAAGCGCCAGAATAGCATGGCCGATCAAGTGAAAGCTACTATGCGGGGGATTCTCATGCGAGAACTTTCGTGATAATACCCGTGCCGACGGTCTTGCCACCCTCACGGAGCGTGAAGCGCGAACCGACCTCCGCGGCGATGTCGTGAACAAGTTCACAGACCATCTCAACGTTATCACCGGGCATGACCATCTTGTCCGCAGCGTCCGCGGTGCCCTCTGGCCAGTTAAGACCAGTGGTAACGTCAGCGGTGCGGATGAAGAGCTGCGGGCGGTAGTTGGCCATGAACGGCGTGTAACGCCCACCCTCGTCTTTCGTCAAGACCTTTGGGATGTTTCAGTTCTAGTCGGCAACACAAGTAAACGGCGGACGTACGTAGATCTGCGCGACGAATTTGGTCACCGGCTTAATGGAGCCAACAGCAGCGACAACCATTCCACGCTTGAGCTGTTCGCGCTTGACACCGCGGAGGAGAGCACCGAGGTTGTCACCAGCCTCACCCTGGTCGAGCTCCTTGTGGAACATCTCAATGCCAGTGATGGTAGTCTTGAAGTTGGCGCCAAGACCGATGACCTCGCACTCCTCGCCCTTCTTCGCAATACCACGCTCCACGCGACCAGACGCGACTGTGCCGCGACCAGAGATCGAGAAGGAGTCCTCAATGGGAAGGAGGAACGGCTTGTCGAGGTCACCTGAGCGGGAAGAAGTCAGTGAAACGTTACAAATGGGGATACGGCAACGTACGCGGAGGAACGTCAAGCCAAGAGTCGCAGGCCTCGACAAGCTCGAGGATCTTCTTCTCGCCAATCTCCGGGTCACGGCCTTCAAGAGCAGCGAGTGCAGAACCCATGACGATGGGGGTGTTGTCGCCGTCAAAGTTGTAGGTCGAGAGCAGGTCGCGCATCTCCATGTCGACGAGCTCGAGCATCTCCGGGTCGGAAACCTGGTCAACCTTGTTGATGAAGACGACGAGCTTTTTCATGCCAACCTGGCGAGCGAGCAACAAGTGCTCGCGCGTCTGGGGCATTTGACCATCCGTAGCGGAGACGACAATGATACCGCCGTCCATCTGAGCTGCACCAGTAATCATGTTCTTGATGTCTACGTGAAGGTCAGCGTCGCGAAGATAGGGGTACATGGCGATAAAGCATACAGTCGGCGTGTCCGGGACAGTCAATGTGACCGTAGTGCCTGTTGTTGGTCTCGTACTCGACGTGTGCGGAGTTGATGGTGATACCACGGGCCTTCTCCTCGGGCGCCTTGTCGATGCTGGCATAGTCCGTGAAGGTTGCACCACCCTGGGAAGAGAGAACCTTGGTGATAGCAGCCGTCAGCGTCGTCTTTCCGTGGTCGACGTGGCCTAGGATAGGATATGATCAGCATAATATAATGGGCGCTTAGCGGAATAAGGCGTACCGATAGTGCCGATGTTCATGTGGGGCTTGGTGCGGACGAACTTGCCGGTCGCCTCTGCATAGCCACGGACGGGCGCTAAAGGCGCAAGTCAGGCAATGAATGTGATTGGGGAGCGTGGGCTTACTGTAGCGGAAGGAGAGGCGAGGTGCGCTCAAGGCCGCAGGTGCGAGAGAAGCGCGCCTGCACGCATTAGCCAGTGTCTGCGAAGCAGCTGCGAGACAGTCAGTTAAATGACAGTTATACTGGATGCATTCAGACCTACCCCTGGAGCTAGAAGAGTAGAAACGGCGAGCGACCAGCCGGGGCACTGCGACCTGAGAACGCAACATGGTGAGGGCTGGAAGTGACGCGCGCTTCGCGCTGGCATCCGCCCAAAAGTCCTCACGGCATCTTCCGGCTCGAATATTCCCGTGGCACACCCGCGCCGAACCTTGTCTCTTCCCCGCATTCACGCGTCCACCGTCATGTCTGACCGTCAAGAACTCCTTCGCAACGCAGTCGCATTTCTCAATGACCCAAAGGTATGCTTCAATATGATCTCACATTAACTGACGCTAACCATGCATCAAGACACAAGGCTCCCCTCTGGCACAACGCGTACAGTTCTTGCAAGCCAAAGGTCTCACACCGCAAGAGATCGACACGGCGATGAACCAGGCTGCTCCCTCTGCACCCGGTCCATCGACCTACGCTGCGCCGTATCCACAGGCTTACGCGCCCGTGGGCGTCTATCCTCCAGCTGCCCAGCCTTGGGACTGGCGTGACTACTTTGTGCGTCTACCCACTCAATTACGCGACTTTGTGCACTCACATAACACCTACACAGATTACTGCTGTTGTATCTGGTTCAATAGCATACGGTGCTGCTGCACTGGCCCGCGTACGTGCATACTGCTAACCTCACTTGACCGGTGCTCACTTTCACGTGATAGAAATATCTCCTGCCACACCTCCAGCCTCCGAGCGCAACCGCCTACGAGGAGGATCGTGATGCCCTCACTGCGCAATTCGACGCGGCGGAAGCGCTCCTGCGCGAGATACAAGCGGACACCGTAGCAGTCAAGGCTGCAGTAACGGAGCAGAAGGAGCGTGTGGACAAGGTCACCTCGGACGTCGAGACCGCCGTGAAGGAGATGCGTGATGGGGAAACGAAGACAAGGGATGAAATGCGCGAAGTACGGGAGGAAATCAACAACATTCGCGAAATGCTTCCTAAGGTCAGTCTCCTTGTTCTCTTCTTACAAGTACGATTTTGAGCAGGCCTCCAGATGATTGAGAAGAACAAGGACGCCCAGACCCAGTCACTAGCAGAGCTCCAACAAGAACTCAAGTCTCTCAAGGCGTTGCTTCTCAGTCGTGGCCCAACACATTCAGGATTGAGCTCGCCTCTACCGCAAATGCCGCCCCGACCATCCATACCCGCGTGGCAGCTCGCACAACCTGCATCACTACCTGCGTCAGCCACAGCCCCAACATTTCCGCCCGTCACGCCATCGCCGCCTCCAGCAGCGAGTTCGGTCTCTACACCGTACCAGAACGGGTTCCCAAGCTTGAAGGGGAAGGAGGTAGCGCCACCACCACCTGAGGATAGTACGCCTGCTGCCTAATTAGCACGTATGTACTGCATCCGTTGCTGCTTGGGATATGCCTCTACTTTGGACTATGTATACCCTGATATTCAATCCTACACTGGTAGATTCCCGCTTGCGCGGCCGAACTTCGCAATCACTCTTCGACCGTGAAGCCAGGAACGGAGAAGACAATAAGATCGACGTCGGGACATGAGACAAACACAAGTCCATGAGCCCTAGCATAAATTGCTGCTTTTGATCACCGACTCTTGTTCTCTGGCTCTATTCTTTGGGATCTGTAGGTGCCCACTGCTCTTGTCTCCTCCCCTCGCCACCCGCTCCGTCCTTCGCTGCCCTCATTTCCAGCATGCCGCTCAAGCGCTCAAAACTTCGGGCAGTCCGTGCGGGGAGGAACATCAGCGCCGCTGTAGTACTTTTGCTTGGAGCGGTCCACGCTGAAGCCTGTATACCTGCGTTGACTCAATTCGCCACCGCTCATCCTGATGCCCCCGTTGCGCTGGTCGCACTCTTGTATCATCGCTCCATTCTATGTACGTCTCGACAGGCTGCTCTTCCGCGTCGAGGACGAAGTTCAACTGACTTGCGCGATAGCTCTCGCTGATACAGTACTCGCCACACGTCCGCTGACGTCTACCTGCCACACCGCCACCGCACAAGCTCTCAGGAAGATGGAGATGTTCGCAGCAGGGAATAGGCATGGTAGTGCGCCTGGTGAGCTCACCGGGGCAGTTGTATCCGATCACGTCGTGACTGGCTGAACCCAACTAGTGTGCGTGCTACATGCAGTCTGGGCTCTCGCTACTTTTTATACCTTGGCTTTCCTGCATTACAACACCTTCATCTCCTGCATGGTCCTCTGCTATGCCTTCCTACCTTCTTCTCTGCGTACCGGTGCGTGCCTTCTACGTCACACTGCGCTGTGTCTAACAGTGAATAGTATTGACTACTGTACACGATAACTTCAAGATCATGTGTACCACGAAAGACCCTTGGAGACCTCTTGCAGCAGTGGCGCTACGTGTCATTGTGTCTGCCGTGGTCCCCCCGCCCATCAGCGTCACTGAGCTTTCCATACCTGCCGATAGCTACGAGTCCTCTGCGACTGACGACGAAAGTCTCCCCCCTGAGGACGTCTTCGAATTCAAGTATAGCGATGCAGGGCTCCAGGATCGTGGGATTGAGCGTGAGTGAATGTATCAAGTACAGGACGCAGACACTGATATAAGGCAGTGATGGCACATGTTACGAACTTTATCTTCAGCCCTGTACACGAAAGAACCCCCGAAGAGTGTAAAGCAATAGCGATGAAGTCGGTCCGTCTCGTATCGGAACCCTGCTTCGATTCTGACTGTACGTAGTCGGAGACAGCAAGACCCGCGACCTGATATCGCACGCCCCTCCCCGGAGTATCTGCTTGAGCTCGAAGAGGAAGAGCATCGGCAAGAATTGCATCGGCAGAGCTTGATCACGCGTAGAAGGCGAGCCCGGGTTTTCGAAATGCTGTTGTGGGTCACACTGCTCCATGAGTTGATACTCTACTGAGGGCGTCGAACTTTAAGATCTTTACCTCCCGTCCCTTATCAACTGGGCTACATTGCATTCCCTATTCCAGACTATCCCTACTCTAAGGATATCGAGCGTGATTCTCTTCAGAAGCCCTTGCTTCCTTCTCAAATCGTGCAGGTGAGCTATAGCGATAGTTGTGTATGTCATGCTTCTGACCTTGATTGCTGACTTCAGACTATGTGTCAGCCCATTCTACAAGGCTTCACCTTTGCAAGCTCTGTGCCCTATACACCTGGACCTGGATATCCACCCTACCAACTATCCTCGCGATTTGAGCCCGTCTCTTCGCCGTTCGCCGCTAGTGCTACACTGTCTGGTTTCAATCAAGTGCCCAACATTCCAGTCCCGAATACCACAGATTATGGCAACAAGCAAACGCTAGCTGATCAATCTATCCCATTTGTCGATATCGCGACCTTTGCGTCATTGCCCGCTTCCGTAAACAATCCTTTCGCGGCCTATGCGGCACCCACCTCGCCATTTGTGACAAGAAGTTCAGCTATGGCACCCAGTACACTGGTGCCGAACACTCCCGGCGACAACAGCAACAATGGCGTATCCGCCGCGACTGACGAGCCCTTCACTCCCGCAGCCCCAACTAGCTCTGTTGCTTCACACAATGCGTCCAACAACCCCTTCGCAGCATACGTCTCCTCAGCTTCGCCTTTCGCGACTGGCTCTCCACCTTCATCCGTTTTCAGTAAACCAGCGGCAATGCTAGCTCAAAACGCTTCGGTATCGAATGCTGCATCTCAACAGACATCCAGTTTCGGTACGGCCAATCAATTAACGGACATATAGCTGGCTCACGCTTGTATAGACGCGGCAACGCGACAGCGTAACGACGAAGGTTACGAGATCATTGACGAGGATGCCTATTACGCTTAGCGGGTGTCCAATGCCATCATGTCGCCAATTGCACATCACATCTACCCTGTACCCGTACAGTCGAATTCGCAGCTAGTTTCAAACCCAGCAACCCTTGGATCCGAAGTCCTACCCATGCGCCGTCCTTCCTTCTCACGGGTTACCACGTCCCGCAATGCATTGACGCCAACCCTCAGTCACAGTCACGTCTGGGACGCCACCTTCGTCTGCTACAGACTCCAGATCTCATCCATCATGCATCCAAACCGTCTTCTGGGCGTGCCTTCGGTCTTGCCTCCATCCCCTCTACGACGCCGATCCCCGGCCCCTTTTCCGCCACTGATGCTCGCTGCGAAGCTCACGCCATCCCAAGCTCAACCACACGAAAATGGGAATCCTAGCCTCCACTTTTCCAGCTTGTTCTATCAGTCCAAACTTGTCGAGGAGGAAGTCAAGACCGTGATCTTCCGCGATCAAATCGACTATGAGATAGTAGAGACACTTCGATTGGGCGAGGTACAACACGCCTACTATGTCAAACCTGATTGACGACGAAGATACGAAGATGACGCCACTTTCACGTCTGGTATCAGTACAGCGAGCGGGATTTCGGGTGCGAGCTCGAGACCGAAGCACGACTTCTGGTACGCGGACCCCGCCGTGCTGCGACAGCGGACGATGCACACCCTCCTCAAAGCGCGACTGTAGTGCTAAGCACCCGAGTAGGAGCCTCGCCATTAACGGCGGCACCCGCGGCACCCGGTGAAGCCGCGGCTGGCGCATACAACACATGCAGCATCTATTGCTAGGGGATATCCGTTCGTCACACGGCGGGCGCGGTAGCCGTCAGGCCTTCCTCTGCATCTAGATCGTCTCCGCATCTACTCGTTGTTGCAGAATGCGGACTCATACTGCTGCCGGATGAGGGACCCAACCAGTTTGGGCGCCTTCCTCAATATGCCGTCGTGCATGACTGCGACTACCAGTTGTGGAGATTGTGCATCCATCGCGTTGAGCATCTCATGTACTATCTATAAGTGGCTGAGAGACACCTATCCCAAAGAACTATTTCGTCGTATCCTGCCAGATAGACCAGTGACTTTCACAAAAAGATGATTGTGATTAGTATATACTGTTCATCGATAACCAAAAGTCCAAGATAGCTCGAGTAAAGACTGCAGGAGTGCTACGTGACGTGGCACACATTCGGGTAGTGATCGATTAAAGAGAGCGGAACGGGTCCGTAGATGAACGACATGATCAGACCTGAATCCAGGCCCAAGGGCACTGGGTCGTCTGGTAGCAATTGTTCACCTCCGGTGAGTAGTGAAGCCCTGATGGCATATGAGCTTGGATTCGAGACAAGTGAAGAAACACGATAACTTACAGTCGTTGAAGTTGGTGTAAGGCACACCGGCAGAGAGGTCGAAGGCAGTCCAGTTGAAGACAGGCTGGATGTAGTAGCTGACAAGTGTATCAACGCTAGAATGGTATTCAGTACGCATGCTTTGATAAATTTTCGCTCGAACGGCGTCGTATGCTTACTCAGGGTATGGGCCACCGGTCTCCGAGATAGCACTGTAGACGAGATCGATGAAGTTCTGTTGGGTGACAGGACACCCGCCCTCAGCCCAAGCACAGTCGCCAACGATGGAGGCATAGACGTTGTAGTCGAGACTTGGCCACGTCGAGATGTCCGTGAGCTCGACAGACGAGGAGGTGTTGACTTCACAAGTAAGGCCGTCGTGGAACGTAGGGATCTAGGTGGAAGATCAGCAAGAAGGGACGGGATTGAATAGGCTGAGACCAGATACATACATCCGCGAGGACGGCTGCAGCGACGCAGTGTTTGTTCACCCATGGGTTCTCCTTGGCAGCGACGGAGTTGCCGAGCTCGTTCTTGCACGCTTCAAAGAGAGGGTATACAAAGGGACGATCGTAAGCCGCCATGGACTTCGAAGCACCGGCGCACTCGGTAGATTGGCGCTTCTCGATGGAAGCGGCATCGACAGCGAGAAGAGCTGACAGCCCGATGATCGTAGAGGTGAACTTCATCACTAACAAGGAGATAGACGGAAGAGAGTTTGCAGAACGAAGGAAGGTGTCTGAAGGAGGATCCTGAAGTGACTGGACGCTGACCCGACACTTATATACACAGGCCATCGCAGTGATCAGTGAGCACGCTGCATAGCTAGGTCATTCAATTGACCACTCAATTGAGACCCGTCGGCTTCGATCTTCGGACGCGTGTGACGCGGCGTCAACAGGCCGTTTGCATGTTGACCGCGGCGAGAGAATGAAGGCGCACGGTACAGACGTCGCTCACCATATTCAACGGGCAAACTCCACCAGCCATGACGCTCGAGACCATAGCCGCGTACGTACATAGAATGTAGCGTCGTGAATTAGATGATTAGTGGAACGTGCTCAGAGGCCTTGGGTCTGAGAATACACAATCACTGACACTCAGGTGGCTACTGGAATCAACCACAAGCGCCCCAGGGCCGCACCTCTGCGTACGGCCAGAGGTAAGGCTGGAGGACAGGCGATGAACCATGAGTCGAGAGACACGATGGTGGAGGTGATAGAGGCTGTGGCTGTAGTGACCGTTGCATCGCAACGAACGTGCCGCGGCAGTTGCGCCAGGCACGCGTGGGATCTGTACACACCATGCAGGTGCCTCAAGCGTAAGTAGTCTTGCAAGAGCAGGCACAACTACAGCCTGACAGTGTTACGGCAAGGATGAGTGCAGCGCATCCGACGACTGACCGCTGACTTCTTCAATGTGATCCTCTCCCAAAGCCACGGCCCGAAGGGCGGTTATACGAAGTCTAAGTAGATAGTGATATGAATATTATTGAACGGTATTCAAGACCATACAGGCAGGCAGGAAGGGGCCGAGTAAAGACAGGATACGCAAGCTAAGTAGCGCGTAGTGCGCATAGAATTGTTCTGTAGAGAGTGACTCGGAAAGAACGGGGACCTGTGACCTGATACTAACGGAGTCCCAGCTCAGTCGCACTGAGTAGGATAGCAGTGGTTGATGGTGGGCGAGTAGTGAAGCCCTGTAGAGTATGAGCACACAGTCGTCCATTTCAAGGGCTACGATACGTACAGTCATTGAAGTTGGTGTATGGAATACCAGCAGACAGATCGCAACCCGTCCAATCGAAAACCGGCTTGATGTAATAGTTCACAAGAGTCTCAGTCGAGCTAGGAGTGGACTTAGTGTGAAATAGAAGCACCGTAAAAGGCAATGCTTACTCGGGGTAAGGGCCACCAGCAGAAGATATGGCACTGTAGATAAGGTCGATGAAGTTCTGCTCGGTGATGGGGCAGCCACCCTCAGCCCAGGCACAGTCGCCGACAATGGACGCGTAGACGTTGTAATCAAGGCTAGGCCAAGTACTGATATCGGTGAGCTCGACTGACGAAGTGGTGTTTACGCCACAAGTCAGGCCATCATGGAATGTCGGGATCTGCAAGTCACCGTGTCAGTGGCTGGCGAGAGCGTGACAGAATAAAGGCACGTACACTGGCTGCGACGGCGGCAGCGACACAGTTCCTGTTCACCCACGGGTTCTCCTTCGCCTCGACAGAGTCGCCGAGTGCATCCTTGCATGCTTCGAAGAGAGGGTAAACGAAGGGACGATCGTAGGCCGCCATCGACTTCGAAGCGCCGGCACACTCGGTAGATTGGCGCTTTCCGAGAGTGGCTGCCTTGATGGCGACGGCATCGGTCAGTGCAACGAATGTGGTAGTAAACTTCATGACTAGCAAAGGGAGTGGTAAGCAGAGAAGATTAGAAGGGATGGGGAAAGGGGGGATCCTGGCTATGAGGACTCGTTGCAGCTGATATTTATGTACTGTGTGTACAGGCTGCACAAACATACTCCAGATCAAAGACGGGCGCAGTATGGACCGCGGACTGTTCAAGCCGTGGCGCTGATCCCTGGACAACGCAATGCAGGCAAGTGTCGCAGTTACTAGACCTGGGCCTATAGGGATTGCTTCTACGGATCAGGGTATCTCTCGCTTATGGGCGGCGTTGAGCATACAAGGCCGCTCGCGCGAGGATGGAAGCGGCGAGCAACAGTCGGTCATGTGGATTGACTCTAGAGAAGCATGTTCAACGGGCAACATGCAGATGTGAGCCAAGATATATCGGTATGAAGTCGCCGATAGCTTCAGTCGACACATGTCAGGGCTGGCTTGCGGTGTTTCGACCAAATCTCGAGCGAGATGCAGTACAGTGCATGCAATGATGAATTGATTAGGCATCAAAATATCCCTCGAGACGGTTGAGTGGCACTGTCGACCAGTCGTGGGCGTTCTTGAAGAGCGAAACCACCCCGAATTCGAGCCCGGCTCCACGAGTAGCATGCAAATCTTTCAGACTCGTCTACAGACTCGCACACACCAGTTCGGGCATGCGATCAATCGCAGACCCGTTGTGCCAGAAGCTCCAGCGAGATCGTGACGCCAAGTGCAAGCGCTGACCGCCGCTGGACTGCGGAACCGTGAGCAGCCCGGAGTAGGGCGATCCATACATGATACCAGCATGTGCTGTGGCTAGCAATCCACTACTCAGGTCAATGCGGGGGCCCAGGAAACAAGTCAGTCGGTATGAACTGACATTGGTTGTCGGGCGTACGGCATGTCTTGTACGTTCTTGCAATGACGCAGGCTCGTCAGCGCTGATAGAAGACATTAACGAAGCAGCAATGACATACGTCAGAAAGTCCTATTGAGTCTATACCTAGATTCAGCATTCAGTCACACAAGATTCCGTATTCATTATCCTGGCATTGGTCTGGGCGATCATACCTGAATATCTCGTTCAACACTTCATATGGTGGATTAAATTATGATGATACAGATGGTGGTACATTTGCTGGTATGTATGTATCGGAGTCATGGCCATATTTGCAGAGAGCCCACTGCTCATGCCCTGGTCCACTTGCTCTCGACCTGCGAAACACCAACTGGGAGAGCAGCCTTTAATTACGTGTGAGTATGCGGCTATGTCTGAGGACAGATCAGTCGGTGGCGAACCTTCTCGTCATAATCTACCCATTCTCCGTCCGATAGGTCAACTTCGGTGAAAGGTGTGCCCGATTCGCTGCCTTTTGCGGTCCAGATACCCTTTGGGCAAACATCAGCCGCCACTTCGTTGACTAGACGTACTGGGCAAAGCTCACCCTGGGGTCAAAATCGATGAATTCAAGACCGCGGCAATCGAGGATCAAGAACGGGGCAAATTGTCCATTCGCGTCGGCGCTATATGCCTTGGGAGGGTTCTTCTCCTCGAATTTGGCCGTGGACTCGCGCTTGCAAAACGAGCATTTCCAGACGAAGTGCGCAGATGTGCCTACATACGATCTCAATCGGATTGATAATGACATTGGGTAGAATACCAGTACCTTTGCCAAGGCTAGCGACGTGTTCTTCCTTTCAGCGGAAGTGCAGGTTGGTGCCACACACATGTATACACTATGAAAGGACTCACGACACGGTTCATACTGACGAGCTTTGAGTGCGTTTCGTTGCAGCTGGAGCATTTGACCTGCCAGGGCATGCACCATGAGTGGCATTCCAGAAGCGCGATGTCTTTGAAAAGCATACTTGGAAGAAGTACTCGAAGTTGTCGGATCCGGGCAGCAAGTCTGTGATATTCTCGAGCTCAGCTTTGATCGAGAGGAGTAGGCGCTGAGATGAATTTGGGATGAAGACTAGTGCGACGGATTTGGAGGGATACTCACGACCATGATGGTGGATGCTGGTGGGAGGCAAGTGGCGAACAGACGCGCGACGCGTGAGGCACTTCGTGACCGCGTCAAAGGCCGGAGCGCGTCTTTCAGCCCCGACGGTCATGACCTGGCGCACCGCTCTCGCCGCCTCCCGCGCCACTCGCTCCTTCTCGACCTCTACACGTGCTCAATTCCCGCGGCGTATCCGACCGCGCGAGCTTTCACTCGATGAGATAGAGGACTGGCAGCCGAGCAAAAAGGCAGTGGTCGAGGGCTTGTTGACCAAGGAGGACTACAGGTCCTTCCCGAAGAAGGGCGAGCAGGCGAATACTTTTAGCCCGGATGACGTGGAAGAGTTCCAGTACGATGATACGACGTCTGACGGGCACCGGCTACTGGACCAACAGCGTCAAGTGCTCTACTACTTTCGACTCATCGAGCACGAGATGCCCAAACTCGTCGGTACGTCTTACCACTGGTTACATGTTTAATCTCACTGACACGGGCAATTATAGCATTTCGCAAACCCTTCGTTCCTCCCACTTCCGACCGACCCATGACGGTGCGCTCCATTGACTATGGTGGCGAGTCGCACCCAGTCACGGCAAAACGCGTGATCAGCGTACCCGTTACATATCTGCCTTTGCGCGACGCGAATGCGACCCATAAATTGAAGGTTCTCGCCGGTGTACGATGGACTTCGGAGCCCCCAAAGGACGCCGGTTTCCGCTATAAGGAGGAGGGCGGCGAGCACGGATACATCAAAATATCGTGCGAGGACTTCCCGGAACCGTCCATGAACCTCAAATGGGCGAGTGACGCGCTCGATAGGCTGGTGGCCGAGGCGAACGTATGTCGAAACCAGCCTGCATGTCTGATCTGTCTTTGACTCTGAACGTACAGGACACGTCCGACCCTATGACGGACGTACCTCTCGACACTCGTCACATAGACTGGAAACGGGCCAAACGCGGCATCGGCATCAAGAATGGCGACCTTGCAGGTGGGCGCAAGCGGACAGCTGAACCTCCGTCGTTGCGGGATTTCCCTCGTGAGTGGCTGCCCGCGCATCCGCGACCTGCGCCTGTGCAGTCATAGTTGTCCCCATCATTCCATTACTACCCTACACTCCCATAGTACGTTGCAATGCATATGCTCTGCTTTTGCTCTACGCTCTTGCGTCTTCCTGTTCGTGTTCGTTTTGTTCACGTGTCGTCGGCTTTCGAAGCTTTCGGGTTATCTCTGCGGAACGCCGACGTCCACTTGCCGTTCCGGGTTCTCAACACTCTGACTCCTGACCGCCACCACCACCATGACTGTTATCCGGGCATCGGTCGTTCAGACATGCACTGCTGCCTACTCGATGCCTGAAACGCTCGATAAACTACGGCGGCTTGCCAAAGTGGCGAAGGAGCGAGACGCCTCACAGTTGGCCGTCTTCCCGGAAGCCTTGTGCGTTGTATATGCCCTTGGCGCGCGGTTTGCGTCTGATGATAGTCGATGTTGAGTATCGGAGGATATCCCAAAATGTCAACCTTTGGCGTGGTCGTCGGTGAGCGCTCGGCTGCTGGCCGCGACGAGTTCTTGAGGTACCACCAAGCAGCTATCGAGTTGCCTTCGCCTGAGCTCGCGCAAATCGAGGCCATAGCGCGAGAAGTCGACATCTTTCTTGTCGTAGGCGTCATTGAGCGTGATGGTGGGACACTATACTGCACGGCCATCTTCGTCGATCCTGCAGAGGGTTTTGTTGCGAAGCATAGAAAACTCATGCCCACGGCTGCTGAACGACTCATCTGGGGTCAAGGCGGTGCGGACACCTTGGCAGTTGTCGAGAAAGAGTTCAGCCCATCCGTCAAAACCAAACTGTCCGCCACTATTTGCTGGTGCGCAACATATAGTTAGAGACTCGCGCGCTATTCGCTGACCGGAAGCGCAGGGAGAATTATATGCCCCTGTGTGCGTCTCCACCTTGGCTGTTAGAGATCAGCGCTCATATACAGCCATCACAGTGCGAACCTTCTACTACTCGAAGGGCACCCAGATCTACTGCGCACCCACGGTCGACGCGCGCCCCGTCTGGCAAAATACGATGACGCACATTGCATTGGAAGGCCGATGCTTCGTACTCTCTGCCTGTCAATACGCGCAGGAGAAGGACTACCCCGCCGACCATGCTGTCCGAGACGCCAGTGCGCGCAACGGCGAGAACGTTATGATTGCTGGCGGCAGCGTTATCATCAGCCCTTTAGGCGACGTGCTCGCGGGCCCCCTGCTAGACGGTGAAGGAGTGCTCAGTGCTGACCTCGACCTGGACGACATCGTGAGAGGTAAATTCGACCACGATGTTGTCGGACATTACGCCAGGAAGGACAGTGAGTGGCGCGTCTGTTTGATTTACCACCGATCCGTTGCTCATCGGCTATCTTTCGCGTATACAGTTTTTGAACTGAATGTGAAGGGAGCTTAACCTCATTCGGAGGTGCGGGCATGTCAGGGTCACCGCGAAAGACGGTTGTATCGAGTATGTAGACTAGATATCCCTCTGAGTCCTGTACATCACTCATACCCGTCGACTTGCTGCTAAAGAAGGATGCATTGTGTGATGAGACCACGCGCGAAGTGGGCAAGAGGAAACGGTGTGGACCGAAGCGCGCGCCCTTTGACGTCCAGGCCATGCGCCACACGAGCCAAGCAGCCGGGTCCAAGTGCTTCTTTGTGTTTCGGTACCTTAGTGTATTTGCCTGCATGTCTACACAAAGCACAACCCCATCTGATCAGGAGAACCGTCCCAAAGGAATGTGTATATAGCCCGCCCGCTTAGTTGGCGCCTTCAACCTACCTTACACCCCGCCCGCCACTACCTCGCCCACTCATCACCACCATGCCTAAACCGGCCGCCGAAACGTCCGACGCTAACGTCGCCTTCATGGCCGCCTACGCGAGTCTCGGCTATAAGCGCACTCAAAACACCGCTATCCACCCCACACGGGCCAGCAAGCCCAAGCCCAAGCCGTACGATCGCCCCGAGTCCTCGCAGCACGCCTTGTGGCGCATGCAACAAAGCACCCTCTTGCGCGGCGCCTCCGCTGGCAGCCGTGTCGGCCGGACCATTTACAATCAGCACGCGAGCGCGCAGATCCGAGTCGAAGCGCTCGCCGAGGCGGCGCGCATCATCAAGGAGGAGGACGAGTTGGACGGCGCGGGCGAGCTATACCTCGCCGACTGGTCGAGTGCGCTCTCGGGCGCTTTGAGAATCAAAACGGAGTGGGCCGAGCCGACACTGCTGCCGCAGACGCCGGAGAAACAGTCAGAGGCGCTGGCGACGCCACAGCTGTCACCCGCAGGATCGTCGCGGCTTTCTTCGCCTACGTCGTCGATCCTTTCCACGCCCGGGCCCCACTGGTCGCCGTTTGGAGACGCCGCGCAGGGTGATGACGATGTGTTGCCGTCGCCACCGGAGCCGGTGACTGTCGTGAAGATTGAGGAGGAGATTGCAGAGGACGCGGCCCGTCTGTTCGCGGAGATGTATACCAACGAGGATAGCGTTTTCCTTTGATTCGCGCTCTCCTCTGCTCTTTCTTGTCTTGGAACATGCCCTCGCGTGTCTGCTTCGTTTTGCTGCATTGTCAGACTGTCCCAAAATGTAATTCATGGTGCTCTATCAGTACAAATCCATATTGAAGGGTCGTGTTGAACACGATTCATCCCCCGCGGGTTAACCCGGGGTACGAGCGTGCCCGAGGCGTGTTCGCCACATGTCTTCTTTGCCGAACCAAGATCATCGATACGCCTATTCGCCGTGTAGAATAACGCCGCTTGATGAGTGGACAGCGAATCAGATAGGCAAGATATATACGGTAGCGCCGAGCACACTGCTAGTGTTGGTGCCCTCAACATGGCAAGCATCATGGATTATAGGTCACGGTAAAGCGAATAAGCCGCGCGGAGAACTGGGTAATGTATTACAAGTAGATACAGTACAAGCAAAGTGGGAATGTCCGTCCCATTGTCCGAAGGCATGACCAGTCCATTTAGCTGCATTGAGTCGGGTAGCAGTGCGTGATGGTGGGAGACCAGTGAAGCCCTGGAGGAGGTAAGCATGTAGTTATGTGTAACGGATAAGACGGGCGACTCACAGTCATTGAAGTTGAGGTAGGGAATTCCCTCCGATAGGTCGAACGCCGCCCACTCAAATATGGGCGTGAGGTAGTCGTCGATGAGCTGGCCGGCCGAGCTAGAGCAATTGAAGTGAGTGGATGTTACGCATAAGAGGAATCACTACGGTCCGGCATACCTTGGATACGGCCCACCGCTTGTTTCGGCAATCGCTCCGTAGACAAGGTCGATGAAGTTCTGCTCCGTGATGGGGCAACCTCCCGTTGCCCAAGCGCAATCGCCTACGATAGACGCGTAGACGTTGTAGTCGAGACTCGGCCAGGTCGAGATGTCCGTGAGATCGAAGGTTGCACTGGTATTGACACCGCAAGTCAAACCGTCATGGAAGATGGGGATCTGTCTAACACGTCAGCGATAGAGTATTGCAAGACGCGAGTGTTGATGCTTACACTAGCAGCTACAGCAGCTGCAACACAATGCTTGTTCACCCACGGGTTCTCCTTGGCCGCGATGGAGTTTCCGAGCTCGTTCTTGCATGCCTCGAAGAGCGGATAGACGAAGGGTCGGTCGTAAGCAACCATTGACTTCGAAGCGCCGTAGCATTCGTTGCCCGACTGGCGCTCGTATAGGGACGCGCCATCGGCGGCAAGGACGGCTGCGAGTGCAGTGATCGTAGAAAGAAACTTCATAGGGATGGAGTTGTTAGAGGGTTGAACGGCTGCGAGGAAGAAGTGCAGGAGACACATCGGTTGACATCGCGCTTAAATATGCGCCGTGCATGTGGCATGTCGTGAGTAGCGTATAGCAAACGGTACTGAGAGCCCGTTGGACTCGGAACTCGAGCAGGCTGGAGCATCTGACATACGGGCTCTTCAAGCCGCACAACCAGATCGCATATCGAACCCTTCAGGTGCATTGCCTAGCGATGACATCGAGGCCCGTAACCGCAGATGTCCTTTGCTGCAGGTGCTGGAGAACTGTAAACGGTCGTATGCTCGTCGTAAAGACATCCAAATGGAGGAGTTCATGCCGGGCATCACTATGTGAACGCGCTCAGGGAACATCGGACGAACGGCGTTAAGTCCCCGGACCAATACTGGCGCAGTGCCGAGTCGAGGCCATTGCCGCTTCACAATTCCGCTAGTCGTTGACCGTGCTGTGTTGGTGCTGTGCACATGTTGCGGATCTCGGTTTATCGGCAAGTCTGAGGCGGACACTCAAAAACCCAGGACGACTCGAGATATGCATGCAGCACCAGTCTGGCCAGAGAATCCGCGAACTCTATGGAGTAGTACTACCCATAGGTCTAAGTACGCAGGTGACGGGAAGAAGGAAGATCAAGTCAAGCCCGGTCCCCCGGAGGACGTTCGGCTGATCGGACCGAATTCCGTAGCTGTACAGTAGCACCGTCTATTCGGTTGAATCACGCGTACCATTCGCCAGTGAGATTGCCCTTTCTGAAGTATCTCTCCTTATCTAAGACACCTATACATCTGCTAAAAGCTGAGCAAGCGTGCGGTCGATATAATCGGGTACTCTGATGACCACATTCACCTCGGTGCTCTTGCACATGTGCCAAGGATAAGAAGAGTGAGAACGGGCTCAAGTTACCGCTTACCGCTTCGTGATTGTCGGTATCGCAGAGGTGTCCTCGGCCGATGAGTGTCAACAACTATTATTCAACTATAGGTGTGCAAAGTCCGTTGGATGTAAGGAACGGCAAGGCAGTACGAACGAAGACGCCGAGATCTGCCATGGGTATTGGGTTGTCTCCAAGAGACGAGAAGACCAAAAGGAGAAGAAAAAGGTTCGCAAAGGCCCGGAGGGAGAAAACAGATTGAGGGGTTTAGTTAGAGCAGCCGATGCCGTTGGCGCAACCGTGGTCGAGGTTGCCGGAGTAGTGGAGGACTGGTAGAAGTCAGCTCAAATACGTCGAGCTGCAAGTGAGGACAACTTACAGTCGTTGAAGTTGGTGTACGGGATGCCCTCCGCAGTGGACTTCGCGGTCCAGTCGAAGACCGGCTGGATGTAGTTCTCAGTGACGGTCGCGGCCGAGCTGTATCAAACAAGATGAGCGAGATAGTACGAGAGTGATATATCGCCGTGTGCTTACTCGGGGTAGACGGGGGAGTCCTCGTCGGAAATAGCAGAGTAGACGAGATCGATGAAGTTCTGCAGGGTGATGGGGCAACCACCCTCGGCCCAAGCACAGTCGCCGACGATGGACGCGTAGACGTTGTAGTCAAGGCTGGGCCACGTCGAGAGCTCGGTGAGCGTGACAGAGTTGCTCGACGTGCAGGTCAAGGCATCGCGGAAGGTCGGCAGCTGTGTATTGCTTCAGCATCGCCAAGATCTATGCACGTAAAGGTGGAGATACTCACGCCGACGACGGCCGCGGCGGCGACACAGTCCTTGTTGACCCAAGGGTTCTCCTTGGCCTCGACAGAGTCGCCGAGGGCATCCCTGCAGCTGACCATGAGAGGGTAGACGAAGTGACGCTCGTAGGCGGCCAAGTCCTTGCTGGCTGCGTAGCACTGAGACGACTGACGCTTCTCGATGGTCGAGGCGGCATCAACGGCAAGGACAGCAGCGAGAGCAGCAAAGGTGGTAGTGAACTTCATGACTGGGGAGATAAAGACTGAAAGAGCAAAGGCAAGGCAAGGCAAAGGACGATCAAGCGGAGAAATCCTGAGGGACAGAGTGGTCGCTAGGACCCTTTTTATATACCGAGCACACAGCCGCGGGACACAAATTGAGATGCCGGACTCTAACAGAACCCCAGTGCTCGAGCGCATGGCGTACGGGCTTGTGAGACCGTCTATATCAAGGCTTGGGTCGATTGATGGTAGAGTATCGGGAGTGCGCCCGACGACGAGCTGAGCGATGCAGGCAAAATATTACGAACCGGTGACCGGAAGGCGAGGAGACGCCGGGTCGAGGTACAATACGGGATAGCCGTCCTCGGGCATTGTGGTCCTGTAAAGCAACATCTGATTCGGACAGCGAATGAGGGAGAAGGAGAAGAGGGATCAAAGCTTCTGAAGGACGTGACGGTCGCTGGCGGAAATGTTAGCGTGTGAGAAAGCGAACGCTGGCAAGCGCCGCGTTTCTCTGGTTGACGGTTGAGCCCGACGACCGTCTCGACCAGCGACGCCCCGTTCCCGCCGCTCCTTTCTCTTCACTTAAGCCATGGACTACGACTCGTACAACGGCGACGCTGCCTCCCACAACGGCACCGCGAACGGCGGCGCTGCCTCCCCGTTGCCGCAGACGCCGTCCGCGTCGAGCATCATCCGCAAGAAGCTCATGGGCTACGTCGGCTTTGCCAACCTGCCCAACCAGGTCCACCGCAAGAGCGTCCGCAAGGGCTTCCAGTTTACCGCAATGGTCGTCGGTACGGATATTATATTCGCTGTCACGCGCTGGCCGAGTACTCATCCGAATATCCAGGCGAGTCCGGCCTGGGCAAGTCGACGCTGGTCAACACGCTCTTCGACACGCCGCTCTACCCGCCCAAGGAGCCCCTCCCGCCCCACGCAGAGCGCCCAACGACAGTCGCCATTGAGAGCATCAGCGCAGGTACGTACACCATCCCCGCTTAGCCCGCTCCCGGCCTTCTAGCTCAACACGCGGCACAGATATCGAGGAGAACGGCGTCCGCCTCCGCCTCACCGTCGTCGACACACCCGGCTTCGGCGACTTTGTCAATAACGAGGACAGGTCAGTCCCCCCACTCTTACTCTGATTTGATCTCATCTCACGCCGGTGTTCAGCTGGAAACCGATCGTCGAGAACATCGAAGCTCGCTTCGACTCGTATCTCGAGCAGGAGAACCGCGTTAACCGCGCGAAGATCACCGACAACCGCGTACACGCCTGCCTCTACTTCATCCAGCCGACCGGTCACGCGTACGTCTCGCCTTGTTTACCTGTCCCCTTCAAAGGACTGCGCACTGACCTGATGTGCGCAGCCTCAAGCCGCTCGACATCGAGTTTATGCGCCGCCTGCACACCAAGGTCAACTTGATTCCTGTCATTGCCAAGGCGGACACCATGACCGACGAGGAGGTCGCGGACTTCAAGGCTCGCGTAAGTGGCAGCTAGCTTCTTTCCGGTGCTTCTGAGCCCATTCGCTAATTCTCATTTGCGACACGTGCAGATCCTCGCGGACATTGCGTACCACAACATTCAGATCTTCCAGGCACCGACGTATGAGAACGAGGATGAGGAGGCGCTGGCAGAGGCCGAGGAGATTGCCGGCAAGATCCCTTTCGCTGTCGTTGGCTCGACCAACATCGTCGTTGCCGCGGACGGACGTGAAGTCCGTGGCCGTTCGTACCCGTGGGGTGTGATCGAAGTCGACAACGAGGAGCACTGCGATTTCGTCAAGCTCAGGCAGATGCTGATCCGGACGTACATGGAGGAGTTGCGCGAGTACACAAACGACACGTTGTACGAGAACTGGCGGTCCGAGAAGCTCACCAGCATGGGTGTCGCCCAGGACTCGAGCGTGTTCAAGGAGGTCAACCCGGCACAGCGCATGCAGGAGGAGCGCGTGCTGCACGAGGCCAAGCTGGCCAAGATGGAGGCCGAGATGAAGATGGTGTTCCAACAGAAGGTGCAGGAGAAGGAGGCGAAGCTCAAGCAGTCCGAGGAAGAGCTCTACGCGCGGCACCGCGAGATGAAGGACGCGCTCGAGAAGCAGCGTCTGGATCTGGACGACAAGAAGAGGAGGCTCGAGAGCGGCCGGCCGCTCACACCGGACAACAAGGCAGCTGTAAGTAATTTCTACGGTCCAAGTCGCATACCAGTACTGACAGGGCCTCTACAGTCGAAGAAAACCCGCGGTTTCCTTCGTTAAGCCATTCGTCCTGGTCGGTGCTCGTAAAAACATTCCTCTTTCATGTGTTGTTCGGTTTATATATTCCCTGCGCGACCCCGCCCTATTCTGTGCTCGCCTCTGGTCTGGTTATATCGTACATCTACCCTTTGTATGAGGGCCTCTGTTCGCCTCCGTGTTCCCTCTCCTCCCGACCGCACCACACTCTTTCTTCCTTCCTCATGGATATGACCCATAGTATGATTCGCCTGATAGTTTTTGAGATCCGGAGTTCATTTAGCTATAGCTTTGGATGAACGATGATACCACTTCTTTTCGCCCCGCGCCCTTATGATGTAGCCGTTGTGCGTGTGAAGACCGAGGAAAGCTTAGATCATCTCCTGAGAGCGCGTGTTGGGCAAGTCGCGTCTCTTGTACTTTCCCAACACCCGACCGCGATGGCGGATATTCAGCAATTGCTCTCAGTCCTCGACGTCTTTGGCCGGGCGCCTGACCGCGAGGCACTTGAAAAGGCGAACGCGTGGCTGCAGGACTTCCAGCACTCTGTACGCACAAATTCTCCGCACTAGGCCGCCGGCAGCCCGCCCTGACGACCCTCACGCAAAGGCCGACGCCTGGAACTCGTGCAGCGTCCTTCTCAGCTCCCCTGACGCGCCTCCAGCCGCCAAAGTATTTGCCGCGCAGACGTTTAGGACAAAGGTACGCGTCGATCTCGAGTATAATGGGCCGGTGGCTAAATGCCACGCAGATCACCTATGATCTTAACCAAGTTGCTCCAAATGAAATATTCGCCCTGCGCGATACCCTACTCGCGGCGCTCCAGGCCTACAAGAACGGTCCACGCTCGATCATCGTCCAGCTTAGTCTTGCGCTCGCCGGGTTGGCCGTGCAGCTCCCCACCTGGGGCAACGCCGTGCAGATGATGATCGAGCATTTTGGGCAGAACCCGGACACGGTGCCGCTTTTGTTAGAGTTCTTGACTGTGTTACCCGAGGAGATAAACAACTATAGGATCCCAATCACCGTGAGTGATGGTGTATGCCACAGCAATTCCAGACTAATGTCAATCCTAGGATGACGAGTATCGGGAGCGCGTGCCACAGCTCCTCACGGAAAATGTGCCTCAGATCCTCAACCTCCTGGCAGTGTACATTCAGGCCCAAGGTGAGGATCCGTCTGTTACTTCTGCAACGTAGCTAATCCTTTACAGGCGTCACTATGGTTGTCCAGAACCAGGTGTTCCGCTGCTTGCGCGCCTGGCTCACCGCAGGAGAGATCTCTGCCTCAGCACTCGTCGCCACACCTCTCTTCGACTTTGTCTGGGAAGCACTAGCGTCCGAGGAGCTTTTTGATGCGGCTGTAGAGGTTGCGTGCGACGTGATTCATGAGACGCAGGAGGTGGACGACAATATGCCCGTCATCGAGCGTATCATGCCACATGTGATCGCCCTCCGCCCTGCGCTCGTACAGCACAAAGAGGACCCAGAGCGCGTGCGAGGCTACGCTCGCGTCTTTGCCGAGGCAGGCGAATGCTACCGTTCCCTCATACTGCACCACACGCAAGCTTTCTTCCCGCTCGTCGAAGCCATCCTCGAATGCGCGTCGTACCCCGACCTTGATATTGTGCCGATCACCTTCCCTTTCTGGGAACGGCTCGCGCACATCATCGGCAAGCGCACGGATACAGCAGTCGACCCGCTCTTCCGTAGCGCATACACTACGCTTATGCGCATCGTCATCAGCCACCTGCACTTCCCGGCCGACGGAACAACGCTCACCGGCCAAGCGCTCGACGACTTCCGTAACTTTAGGCATGTCATGGGCGACACGCTCAAGGACTGCTGTCTGGTGCTTGGTGTCGAGCCCTGTCTGTCCGCCGCACTCGATATGGTCGGCGCTGCGCTTGGAAAGGGGGCTCAGGCGGCGTGGCAGGAGGTTGAGGCGCCCTTGTTCGCTATGCGTTCCATGGGCGCCGAGCTTGATCCCACGGAGGAGAGCGCGGTACCGAGGATCATGGAGATTATACCACTGCTACCGAACCATCAACGGGTGCGCTATGCAGCGCTGCTACTGCTGTCGAGGTACACGCGTTGGATCAATTCGCACCCGCAATTTGTACAGCCGACGTTGCAATATATATCGTCTGGACTGGAGGCGAAGGATCTGGACGTCTGTGCTGCGGCTGGACATGCGATGCGCTACCTATGCGAGGACTGCAAGCGACATCTTGTGGCATTCCTGCCACAGTTGCATGCGTTCATGACTACGCTTGGGCCGCGGCTTGATCAGGAGGATAGGAAGGTCGTCTACGAGGCCATCGCGCATGTCATCTCTGCTATGCCCATGGAGCAGGCCGCGCAGTCTTTACGAACCTTCGCATTGGAGCTCCTCGGCAACGTCCACCAGCTGACCTCGTCGACGAAGACTGTGACGAGGCCGGAGCTCACGGCCGTCTGCGGTGAGTATGTTGGCATTGCGACTCTGAAACCTGATACTGACGCCACCGCAGACAGCCTGACGAACCTTGAGGTTATGATCTACACCGTTGGTCCCTTCGGCGAGTCTCTGCCAGAAGCATGTGCGGGGACTTGTGAAGAGGCTTGGGCAGTCCTCGACGCGTTCATCCTCAAGTACGGGAACGAGGCTGACCCGGCCGAGGTCGTGACGCGAGTCCTGCGGCAGGGAACGCTACTCTTCGGAAACGCGGGCCTTGGTGTGGCTCCCGCCGTTGTCGCGCGCATGGCCGCTGCATTCGAGGCGACTGGGCTTGCGAGCTACCTCTGGATCAGCGGGAAGTTGCTGCAGGCCTACGGGAATGAGGAGGCGCCTGCTTTGCGCCCTGCCTTCCGCGATGCGTTTGAGAGGCTCACCAAGAAGATGTCGCTCATGCTGACGGAGACCCAGCCCGCTCTCATGCCCGACGGTGAGCGAACTTCTTCGATCTATCTTACCCAATTCATTATTGATGCAAATCGCAGTGCTTGACGACTTTGTGCGCATGTTCATACAATGGATCGAATACGCACCGGACGTGACGTTCGAATCACCTGCATTCTTGTTCGCTTTCCGGAGCACACTGGCGGCGCTCACCCTTCTGCCCTCCGACATCATCGTTGCAGCGCTCGACTTCCTCGTCATGCTCTTCGAGCACGATTGTCTGTCTCCTCCCGACGCGTTGAACCCGCCTCCGCCGAAATATCCCGGCTACGCTCGCGCGATCAACGCAGTCCTGGAGACGGAGGGCGCGAACCTCGTCTTGCTGCTTCTCCAGGGTGTCACAGGTGATTTCCCTGAGGACACGAGCGGCATGACGATCGCCATATTCAGGCGGCTTGCGGCGATATGGCCCCAGCATCTACTGCAGTGGTTGCCGCCGGCATTGCAGGGACTACCTACTGCCACGACGCCGGACGACACAAAGACACGGTTCTTGAACGACGTGACCGAGTGAGGACGCTTCTTTCCCGTATGGGACTCCGTGCGGCTCCGCTAACCTGTGTTCTGTTTTCGCAGCGCCATCAATCAGGGTCATCCGGACAAGGTCAAGTATGCGATTTTGGGTATACATCGTACGTCGCGCAAGCAGCGGGACAGGCGCCGGATCGGACCTGGTGATATCGCTCGTTGAGGTCGAGAGTTCAATCGGAAAAGAGACGTCGGTTCATATAATCAGTAGTTGTAGCAGTTTGGTTCGGAGTACGCGTAGTAGACAAGTGTAGCCACTAGTAGGGACAGGTACGTATAGCATACAATTCTACTCCCACCGTGTTTTTCTGTATAGAGTGAGCAAGGGCTGGGCGCGGAGGAGGCGGGAGAGCGTCTGTACGAGCGAGGTGAGCGGGTGAAAGAGAGAATTGATCCGGAGGAGCCCGGCGCGAGCGTGTTGGCGTTTGGCGCGCGTCCTCAAGAACGCGCCGCGTCAAACCCGGGCTGTCTCTCCAACACCTCTCCTCCTCTTCGTACTTATGTTCTCCCGCGCAGCAACTCGCTCGCTCGCTTCCAGCGGTTTGCAAACACTACTTGTTTTTTGAGATTGGAATCTAATATATCCAGTAGCCGGTCGCCGGGCGTTCTCGCAGACGTCGAGGGCGCAGAGTTACGAGGACACTATCAAGAACCTGCTTATCCACAAGGACACCAAGGTTCTCTGCCAGGGCTTCACAGGAAAGACGGTACGCTTTGTGTAACCGCAAGTACACTCGACGACAGGAATAATATGTGTTGCAGGGTACCTTCCACTGTAAAGAGGCTCTCGCATATGGCACGAACATGGTCGGCGGTGTCTCCCCCAAGAAGGCCGGCCAGACTCACCTCGGTCTCCCCGTCTTTGGCTCCGTAAAGGAGGTACGCGTACTGGCAGCATACTCCGAGAGCATTGTCTGATGAAGAATATCACAGGCCGTTCACCACACGCAGCCCGACGCGACGGTGCTGTACGTCCCCCCGCCGAGCGCCGCAGACGCCATCATCGAGGCCATCGAGAACGAGATTGGCCTCATTGTTTGCATTACTGAGGGTATCCCCCAAGCCGACGAGATTCGCGTGCGTCTGGATTCCCGAACGAGTTTAGACCGAGTGCGGCGCTGACGGCGGAACGCAGGTCGTCAACGCGCTCAAGAGCCAGAGCAAGTCGCGTCTCGTCGGCCCCAACTGCCCCGGTATCATCAACCCGCTCGGCTGCAAGATGGGCATCCAGCCCGGACACATCCACAAGCCCGGAAAGATTGGTGCGCGCCCATGCTCTGCACCGCTCGCAGCAATGATGCTAACTTGATCCTCTGTTGTCTCTCCTGTTGCGCACGTTCGTTGCATACCACTTGCGACTCACAGGTATTGTCTCGCGTTCCGGCACGCTCACCTACGAGGCCGTCGCGCAGACAACCGACGTCGGCCTTGGCCAGTCGCTTTGCGTTGGTATCGGCGGTGACCCCTTCCCTGGCACCCAACACGTCGACGTGATCAAGGTCTTCCTCGAGGACCCGAACACGGAGGGTGCGTTGTTCCTTCTACTGCGCACGGTTCGCCGTTTGAGCCTCGCGTTTATCCACGCATTGGCTTGCTTCACTCGGGCTCGCTCCGTCATTTTCCCTGTTCGGCCAGCTTGCTTCTATCGCCACATCCCTCTTCCAGCGCCGAACGGGCTTTCATCAGTCCTGTTGTGCCGCTGATATGCCCACGCGTACTCTAAGTGGGCTTCTACGCCCACCTGTCATCTGACAGCCCTTGCCTTCCTTCTCCATCCATTTTCACATGCCAAACGCATCCACTTTCAGATCACTGACCTTACTCTCACAGGTATTGTCATCATTGGCGAGATCGGCGGTTCGATGGAGGAGGAGGCTGCCGAGTACTTGCAAAAGTACAACACGTCCAAGAAGCCCGTCGTCGGCTTCATCGCTGGCCGCACCGCTCCTCCCGGCCGTCGCATGGGCCACGCTGGTGCCATCATCTCCGGCGGCAAGGGCGCTGCAAAGGACAAGGTCGCCGCGCTCGAGGCTGCCGGTGCCATCGTCACGGACTCCCCGGCGAAGATCGGCATTGAGATGATGAAGGTACGTTTTCAAGGTTTATCACATCGTTTGTGCTCTAGCTGATGTCGTGTGCAGGCGATGAAGGCTGCTGGCCTTGCATAGGCTCGTACTGGTTGGATTCGCTTTCGGGTCGTAGACTAGTAGTGCGGGCGTTCCTAATAGATACATATTATATATACCTGACTTGCTTGCCCTGTATATCATTACACCGCCTTCCGCGCCTCTAGCAGGGCCGGTGACAGCCGCGAGAACGTCCGAACGATGCTTCCATGGTCCTGTCCGTCGTCGCAAGTCATGGACAAGCGCTTTCCCTCTTGCGCCCATCACAATGACAGAATATACTCCCTCGCCTGCGTTCCATGAGGCCGCGGCATATCTTACGAGCCCACAAGCACCATCAAATACATCCACTACGACGAAACTTGAGGTCGCGCCCACTTCGTCCCCACGCATGATGTAGATCCTGATATAGTCCTCCAGCTCTATGGCCTATTCAAGTACCTCATTGCGGCACCGACACCAACTACCTCGCGCCCATCCTTCTTCGACATGACTGGCAGAGCAAAGTGGGATGCATGGGCGCAGGCGGGTAAAGAGTATGCGGGGAGGGGAGCAGATGCGGAGGCGAGATATCTCGAGATTGCGAGGGGGATGGGCTGGGTTGCCGGTGAAACACTAGTTCAAGCGGATAAGGGGAAGGGTAAAGCCGAGGGTGGGGCAGGAGAGGAGGAAGAAAGCAGTAGCAGGGGTGGCGGTACCGGAATGGGGATATCTGTGAGCAAGATGGCGGTCGAGGGCGAGGAGGAGAGTGCGAGCGAGCTACACAGACTCGCGGTCGAAGATGATGCCTTTGAGCTGCTCAATTATATTGATGGAACACCTGGGCTGGACGTGAACGCGAAAGACGAGTTTGTACGTTCATCAATGATTGCGCCCACCATTTCACTCGTATCTCATGTCTACACTCTTACAGGGTTATACTGCCTTACACCTGGCCGCAGACAGAGGCAACGCCGCGGCTGTCAAAGCTCTACTTGCTAAGGGAGCAGATAAGAGTTTACAGGACGAGGATGAATTCACAGCACTTGAGCTGGCCAAGGTCGCAGGGCATGAAGATGTTGTGGCACTGCTTGAGAAGTAGATGTCGCATTATGATAATTGTGAGAATATGATAGTGTAGCACGAAGGGCTACATCGGCGCGCTGTCAAATATCGCATGGAACACCACCCTCTGCAGCGGTAGGTAATCCAAGCCCGCTGTCCCTGAGCAGGTCGTCCGCTCGACTGCTCGCCCCTCTGACCCTCCACCGCTGTCGCCCCCTGACATTATGGTCCCAATGACTATGCGTAAGCACAAACAATAGCCGTAGTCGCTACTGTCTAAGCTGCGTGTGCGGAATGAGCATTTTGTGCGAACGTGGCCTCAAATACGGGGCTATAATGCGAGATGGTCGGCTGGCTGGCGTTGACAGCGGGCAGCTTGGGCGCTTCTGGTGCAGCGGTTTGCGGTGGTGGTGGAGCAGCAGAGGATAGAGTCTTTGACCTGTGGTACTTGGAGTCTGGTGGGATGATTCCTCCCTATACACAAGTTAGCATCATAAACTCGATGAAGTATTACAAGCAAGCACACACCCTCTCTAGCAACCGTACAACAGGCTTAGAGGGTTGAGCCCCGCCTTGGTCGAGCCAGTACTTTATCCTCTGTACCGCCCACTCCATCTTCTTCTCCCCCGACTCGGCCAGCACGCGCGGGTTGTACACACCGAGCAGCTCGATTGGCTTGGCGTCTCGACGCTTGCGTTGGTCGACTGCAACGAGATGGAATATTTTGCTGTGCTTTGGACCGTGCATCGAGAGCCGTAGGCGGACGGTCATGATGGGCGAGTGCGGTGGTGGTGGTGGTAGAACCCGACTGAGTTGGCGCGTCAAAGCCTGTCAAAGCGCGTTGGCTCGTGAGCGCGTCGCGCCGAATATTTGGGGGGGACGAGTTTGCGGTACTTGTACGTAGATCTCCAGTCGTAAGTCTTTCGGGCAGGCTATAGCCCAGTCAGAGTACAAAGACATCTAGATGGCTGGAAGCCATGTATACGACTTGCGTGATTACTCAGAGCGTGATTAAATATACAAGAATGTACAACGGTGACATCAATGCTCAAAGCCTGCGTCGTATCCGGCTATGCGCGCAGACGCAGGTCAGTACCGGGTGAGCGCAGAGAGTACATGTGATATTGTAGAGCGCTTGTGGTGACTTGCGAGGCGATAGGTTGAGGCCAGGGTCAGGGGAGCTATGCACCTTCGGGCCCATCGCTGCCCGGTATGAGCTGCGATGAGCGTCAGAGATGCGCTGCTCCGGTCACCTTACCAAAATGGCTCACCATGCAGATGTTATTTCCATTCAGTAGGGTCTGTCGCAAAGCCGTCTTTTTCCGTCCTGTCGGTGTGATTTCGCTAGAAGCGCATATGAGCATCTCGCCACAGCGCACGGGTAGCGCTCGCGACTCACTACTCGGTCACGTCCTCTAGTACCATATCTACACACGTCGTCAGAGTTCGGTGCAGTAAGGAGATGCGGTGCTACGCACTGACGAAGTCATCGAAGCCGAGCAGTGTACCGGTGAACTCGCGGTCGTTCTTCATCACGACCCAGATCCGCGAGCCGATGCACCTGTCGATGAGCTCTGTACAACGCGAGAGTCAGAAGTGCGTTCGATTCTCACATTGGATTAAGTACGCACCCAATGGCAATATTTGGGAAGCCATGTTGTGGGCAGGTGGCGACAGGCGTGTACAAGAACCCGCGCGCGTCGCGACTCGCGACTCTCTTCCTAACCCCATTCTCGGAGCATAACCATAACCCTACGCCCCCATGGTGCGCATACACTCTCCCTCTCTCTCCGTCTCCTCGCTCACGGACATCACCAGACAGAGCTCCTCTTTCAGGACAATACTGGCCAACAAGTCAAATTTTTCATTCAGCGAGATGTACCGGAGTACGCACGGCTGTGTGAAGAGATAACGGTGCATACGGCTCGCATTGCGCCCGCTGCCCCAGTATACTAATCCCTCGTAGGCTCTAGGTGGTCGCGTCGAGGATAAGATACCTCGAGCTGGCTTTGTGCTCATCAACCCTGGTACCGAGGAAGCGAATCGGCTACGAGACTGCTGGAATAAACCCGACGAGCGCCCGGAACGGTTCTTCGTCCCCTTCACCTATATTCAGGCGTGTAGGGCAGAGGGTCGCCTTCTTCGCCAGATATTCCTCGTCGCGCATCGCCCGCTCAAGTTCTTCGTTCACCCTGATATCGCCAACGTACATACACGCGACATTATCCGCTCGCAGATTCTTGTGCGCCACAGCTCTCGTTTACACGTTCACGAACTTTACTGACTTCTGATATGTCTTTTCAAACTTAGCACTCAGGAGGGAACCCTGATGCGAGCGAGCTTGAGACGGATGTCATCATCGCCGACCATGGCAACCCCGAAGTGTTCAACCATCTCATCAAGGTCAACAATGGCTTCAAGAATCATGTCGAATCCTTCCAGTGGGTAAAGAAGTGCATTGAGCAAGGTGAACTGTCCTTTACGCCGCTGGTGTACAAGAACCCGGGCGGACGTAGACCAGGCGAAGAGTACGTCCACGCGCCACACACATGTCCGTCGCATTGCTGACCAGAGATAGACGCACGCCGTTCACCGACGAAGACGAACACCATCTTTGCCAATGGATTGCAGAGAAGATACCGTATAAGAACACAGGCGGGCGTACGGGTAACAAGCTCTACCAACAGCTAGTTGAGAAGGTCAGTCTGTTCTCGAGACACTATGTGTTCCATTATCTCATGCGTATTGCTCAGGGCGAGGAACCCGGTTATGGTTGGGTCAAGCGCCACACCTGGCAATCCTGGCGTGAACGCTATAAGAAGAATACCGCGCGCATGGATCCACTGATCACTCGTATCGTCGACGAACGTAAACCGGCCCTCGGCGAGATGGGACAGTACGGCTACGTGCGCAAACCCGAACCTAGCGCGCGGAAACGTAACTCTGGCAAGCGCAAAGCGTCGACGCCGCTCGAAGGCGACGGCGCTATTGACGCAGAACGAATTGCCGCCGCGCTCGCGGGGCATATGCCTCTGCCGCATGGTATGCCGCCACCGTTTCCGCCGGACCATTTTCCAGGCGGTCAGCTCCCGCCACCTCCGTTCGGATTCCCGCCCCATATGCCACCACCTCCGCCTCCCGAGGCTATGCCTGGAATGGGCGGGGGACCGATGGATCATATGCCGCCTCCGCCACATCAGCCGCAGCGTGACTCTCAATCGCAGCCACAGTCACAATCTCAGTCGCAGCCTGAGGCTGGGCCAAGCGGTGAGGGCGAGTCTCAGTGGCCCATCCGCGAAGGCACTGGGCCGCAGCCAAATTGGGCGAAGCGAAAGGCAGATGACGAGGCGGATGAACACGAAGCGAAGCGCAAGAAGATGTACGTGCGGTCTGACTGTGAAAACTTGATCGCTTGTCCTGACGTACACCCAATAGTGAGCAAGAGGGCGACCCGGCAATACTCGAGATTGCGTCAGAGTACAAGTTCACTGCGACGGAGGTGCAGGAGTACTTTGACAAGACGAAAGACATAGAGAAGACGCGCAAGCGCTTCAAGAAGAGGCGTGAGCATCTAGACAGCTTGGAGGATGAGGATTGAGTTCGGACATTTCGCATACGTGATTTGTTGTCTGTCATATCATACATGTATAGTTTATGATTTTGATTGTTTGTGCCTGCCATCTGTGTTCTACCTTATCTGTAGCACGATAGTGCTATACATGGGAATCTGCTAGTATCCGCATATCTTCGCCCAGCACCTACAATACGGCAAGTTCTCAATCCCCTCCCTTTCGTCTAAGAGCTCATCCACGAGCAGTTTCTCCTCCTCCAAGGAGATATAGCAATCGTCGAGGATCTGCTTCCAACTATGATCGTGCCCGGGACGCTGCCATTCCGTAGTGTGACACAGCATGGATCCGCGTATGATCAAACGTGGTAGAGGGTGGCGCCTCGTAATGAGCATCTTGCGAAGTGCGCTCCAACGTTCTCGATCCAGCATGTTCTTGTCGGGATGGACGATGAGCGTATGGAGGTCAGGAAATAGCACATGATCTTCCGAGGCGAGGAAAGCGAGAAGATCGATACCAGCATCGCCTACGCGGAGGGTCGCGACGTTATGAAAGCGCTGCAGTGAGACAGCGAGAGCTGGTATGTCATCAAGACGCAGTTCTTCCCTGTGGAAGCGATTGTTTGCTATGTAGTCGAAATCCAGTGTTTGAATGGCAGAAGCCCGAGAGCTGGGCACCCGGTCCAAGAGCTCGTGCAAATTGGATCCACCGCGTCCGCTGCGCTTTGAGAGCACAAGAACCCCATGCAGGATGTCTATTGCTCTTGTGTAGAGCGATGGATCCCCCGTGAATGTAAGTCTATGAACGGTTGGGCCGTTGTCGGGATGGAAAGGATTCGTTTCCGTGGCGGTCGTGCAGATGATGGACAGATTCCCGTGCAAAGAGTGAGTATGCAGGCGAGAAAACGCATAGTCCCAAACGTCCAAACGCCAAGTATCATCGACCCTCAACCCAACATGATTCGGGAACTGGATGTGGTTCAAGGCGTTGACGCATAGGTCGTCAAAGATGTTCACGTGAAGAGTTTGTAAGTTGGGGAGTTCGCAGAGTTGATCGGAGTTGATGATTGAGGATATATCCCCGTCGTCAGTAAATTCCTCGCCCTCTTCGGACCAGACCCCGTGGACTTTCAACTGTGAAAGCGCCGAGCAATTCATGAGGACGGAAAGGAGACGGGCGACGTTCCACTCGTACCCGGAGATCGACAAGAAGCGCAGCGAAGGGGCTTGTAACGGGAGGTATAGATTGAAAGCACAAGTTCGGAGAGCGGGTGCCTCTAAGCTTCCTCGCCATGTGAACTTTATGTGGTCGTACCCCACCGTGCGAACGTTGAACTCAAGAAGGACGGGAAGACGCCGGCCGTCCAATATCGTCCGCCAGTCAACGCCCTTGCTGTCTTCGCGGTGCACGTCTTCGACATCCTTGATGGCTTGGGTACGCGCAATGATCAATGAGATAGATGTCTCATCCCAGAACCTCCTTCCCCCCATATCGAGATCTATCGTCAGCGGAGCATCTTGTGCACGCTCGAGGACTGTGGCGTCGGGAGGGAATGTGCAGACGACGCTTGCCCAGAGCTTTGGGAGGGAGATACTGATGGCGCGCCAGCGCTGACATACGTGCGTCGCAGAGATCCACCCTAGAGATCGTCCTGTAGAAGGCCCTCGCGGAGGATCCACGACGGAAAGGACATCAAAGAGATCGCGAACGAGATCGTCAGGCAAGCTTGCCATGGCCTGCAGGTGTCATCAACTTGTAGTCCGTCTCTTTCGCGTTTGCCACACACTTTGAGAGGTTGCTTCCCAACAAAACCTGGCAACGTAGTTCGTGGCCCGTGGTGGTTTGTGTCTAACTCGTTTGCAGATCGTATAACTTATGACCGGGCATTTCGCGGTAACGTGACATTCGCGGCTCCTGAGGTCGTGTTGCGCGGATGCGGTCAGAAAGAACGACTGTCCAATCAGAACATAGATCTTCCGTCAAATATAAGCAAACTAGCAACTATGTCTACTACCCCGTCTTCTTTGCGCACTCTACAGCAAGGAGTTTTGGCGTCTATCTAGTAGTGCGAATACAGTGACATATCAAAGGAACAGCTTGGCGAAGTATTTTTGGACACCATCTGCACCCTTTAGCAATCCACCAACGACGCCATCCGGTCTGATAATCGCTATACTGACGCCCGCAGATGACCCGTAGGCACGATGAGCATTCTCCTGAGTGTCAACGTATACATCGTGATTCGTGATCGTTTCCTCGGCATTCTGGCCTTGGGGCAAGGCGACCACGATGCGGATGCTGTCCTTCGGATAAGAGGTAAGAAGAGAGTATACTGCCTCGGTAAATGTGGAATCGAGGATCAGAATGGTATGCCGAGTCGGCTTGAGGATCTTGAAGAGCTGGGTGCTTTCGCCCGTTTTGAGGTCGACGAGCTCCGGCGCGTCCGGCGCGCGGTCACCCGCGTGCAACCGGTCCGGGGAGTCAGTGCCATACACGTCCTCCGGCTCAACAATCGTGCTCGTCAAACCGTTCTGTTCGCCCTCCTTAAGCTCGTCGCGCACGATACTGCTCCAACGGTAATGCACGCCTAGCTGGCGTAGTGCATTCGGGCGCTGCCAAGCCGATGTGTCCATTGTCGTCGACTTGAAGGCTCGGTTGGCCATGTCGTTGGTAAGGCGCAACATTTCGCGGATGACGGGCATGCGCTCTTCTTGATAGCTGTCAAGCAGGGATAGCGGCGAGATGCCCTTGACAACCGCTGCGAGTTTCCAGGCAATGTTCATCTGAGGCAACTTATGAATATTGGATCATCACACTACAGATGAAGTGTACTTGCCGCGTCCAATACGCCGCTGTTCAGCCCCTGCGCCCCAGTTGGACTGTGACAGTGGGCAGCATCTTGGAGTCTCTCGTTAACTCTACACAATACTGGGTTTCGAATATAGCGACGCTCACCTCCAGCGAGCAGGACACGACCGACCCTGAAGCGGTCTGCAACTCTCTCATTAAGGCTAACAGCCACGTAAGCAATCCCATTTGAAGAATGACTGAAGCGTAGAACCTACCGCCATTCGGCGATGTTACGGATCTTAGACACGGTGAGCTCCGGTCGATGCGCAATGCGCCGCATCTGCTCATTCAGATAATCGATGTCTTCCATTAGCCGGCGGTTGTCGAGGTTACCAGGACCAGCGACGAATAGCATGTACGTCTTGTCATCTTCCGGGACGGGCCGTAGCATCGCTCTAGTAAACAAGTCAACGCGTGCAGGAGGTACAGTCTTCTCTTATACGCGCCTGTTCTTATCCGCGTCATTCCACATGTGCAAGACCTGGGGCAGAGCTCATCTTGCTGTGCAGGGATATCATAGTTGTCGTGCTCACCGTCCTGTCCGGCGTTTCTGCGCCGTCACCAAGGCTGGAGATCTCCACGTCCCCGATAATGGCCTGAGTGTCCTTGGTCTCTCCTTCAAAATGGATGCCCGCAAGACGGCGTGTGATACCTGTTCAGAGGAGCGATCAAATCATTCTGCAAGATGTACTACATGCTTCATGTATCATACCTTTGCCGCCATCGCTACCCAGGAGAAATTTGGACCTCACTGTCTCTTCTTGCCCATTGACCTTGAGAATAGCGTCGACGCCCGCTTCGTCCTGTTCGTAAGTTGACATCTCCGTGTTGAGCTCTGCCTCCACGCCGAGCGCATTGAGATGCGTGCGAAGGATGGCGCAGTTGCTGTCTTGGCCAAGAATATGTCCATTGGGCTATTGAATGTAGTGAGTCAGAGATATGTCCATCCCATAGGATACGCATAGTGCTCGAAAGACTGACGAAAGGTATCTCCGGCGTCTTCTCTTGCGGTGTCCAGAACCGCGCTCCTCCAGGCAGCGGCTTACCGTCGGTATCATACGCAGTGATAGTGAAGCCTCCGGCGCTTCCTTTCTTGATGAAGTCGTCGAGAACACCGAGTAAGTTATACGCCTCCAGAGAGCGCGGCTAGATGCAACAAGCATGGAGTGAGCCAAATCAGATAGACCACACAAGTACCCATACCATAAGTCCGGCGCCGCGTTGCCCTATAGTGTCCCAAGTGCTGAGTTTATCTATGATGCGAATGGTAACGCCGTTCTGTGCGAGCGCAAGTGCGGCGACGAGGCCGACGGGACCAGCACCAACCTACAAAAACTCTGACTCAGTACGGGAAGCGAGCGTCCAAGGAAGTTGAGCACGTACGATGAGTACGTCAACGTTCGATGACACCATGTTGCAAGTGTAGATGAGAGCGAGGACTTGCTTCGAGTTTCGAGTCGGTCGCATTGGCCACGCGAGGTTATATATGGCCGCCCACTATGCCTCCACGCCGACGTTCACGAAAGGCATCGGCATGTCTTCCTGGACGAGAACCCGCATCATAGCTACGAAGTAGCGAACATGAGTAAACACTGCAGCGACATGCAGGATGCTTGTGCGCGCTACAGCGGTTTCAATCCCTAGATGAGCACATCCCTCTTACGCGAAGGACAATTAACCGGTTTGCGCGTGCACCCGGCATATAGCGGAGAGACTGAGATATCGCAAGTTGCACTTTGAACCTGGTCAGCCATACGACACCTCGCGGGCATGCATGGACCTGTACCAACTGAATGCAGTGGGGAGGGTGCCGCGAAGCTTCGGAACACATTGGCATTGTCGTAGGGAGGATTCGCGTCCGCTAAGTGCTGAGCTGGGCCTATCGAATGGTCCTCAGCAGACTACGCAACCATTAGATGCGCAATGTTGCTGTCGTACACCTCGCGTGGAATCGCTGGATCCTTCCACGGAGGCGTAGCGTCCGTGCAAGGTCATCTCCGCTTCCCGCGTGGGCCGGGCGAAGTTATCCAATTACGTGTCTTGACTGGTCCACTGCTCAACGAAGCCATTCAAGCTCGGTATATGTGATTCACAGGCACCGTAAGATGAGAGGACCGCTGGGGGTCTATCGCGTGTGGAGTGTCGAGAAGGATCATGGTGGTCGAGTGCAAGATACTAACCGCTGACGTTGACCTGAGCTATATGTTCGCACGTCTAAGGGTGAGTACGCCGGGCTTCACGACTACCATAGCAATGCAGGTAAGATTCTGAGCGGGTACCTCGAGAATGCTGTGCAGCGGTGGGATATCATAGGTAACTTGCCGGAGCCGTATGCGGGCCTGGCTGGCTGAGAAGTTGATCAAGAAGATGTTTTTGCATAGCTTATACGTATATGAATGGGGCAGACAACAAAACTTCGACTCCTTGCTGGTCATAATCCTAAGGCAGCGAACACACACATGGACGGAAACGGATAGCACGATCACAGTCAAGACTACAAAACATCGTACACATACATCTACTGGCCGAAGCTGAAGCCACCCGGAGGGGGGGCGCCCTCGGCAGGGTTGAACTGCGTGGCATGTCAGTACGTGCACTGCAAGACACGATAAGATAGCAGGTGACTCACAGTGAAGGCGCCAGCCTCGTTGACATTTGGCGCAATCGACGCATCCATCTCCTCCTCGTCGGGGAAGTACTTGTCCATGATATTGAATGCCTTCTTGTAGATGTCAATATTATCGTGTTGCTGGAGGTTATGTATGGTGATCATGCCGCCAGCCTCCTCGACGTACTGCGCGTACTTGTTGACGGCACCAGGACCAGCGTCGATCTTGTCCTGCTCGCCGACTTTGAGGATGTTGTCGAGGCCATCGAGCGCAACCTGGATGATCTTGTTGTCCATCATCTGCAACAAGTCGCACAAAGGCTTGATGCAGCCCTGCGAGACGAGGTAACGGATCTGAGCGGGCTCCTGGAGACCACCCGAGGTGGCGTTCGAGATGGCCCAGCATGCCTCCTTGCGCGTTTTGAAGTCGGCGTTCGAGAGGATATTGATCAACGGCGGGATGATGTTGGCGTCAATAACTGCCTGGATCTGCGGCGGCGAGCCGGCGGTGATGTTCGAGATCGTCCAGCATGCCTCCTTGCGGATGCCGTCCTTCTGGCTGCTCAAGAGCGAAAGAAGGGCCTGGAGAGCGCCGCTCGCAATGACCACCTGGGTCTGCAGGTCGTCACCCGTCACGATGTTTCCTACAGAGCGCAGGGCCGGAGTCTGGACAGAAGTTGATGGATGCAAGAGGAGGTCGACGAGGCGGCGGCAGACACCAGACTCGATAACAGCTTGGATCTTGTCGTTCGAGCCATCAGAGAGGTAGGAAATAGCCCAGCACGCGTCGATCAGGATCTCGTCGTCAACGGAGTAAATGAGTTTCGTGAGAACATTCAAAGCCGGCGCGATCTGCGGTCACCGCGTGTCAATGAAGATGCGCCACACAATAGGAAAATAGACAAAACATACCAGTTCCCAGTCAGGTTGCGGGTTCTTGCCACGGCAGAAGTTAGAAAGCGTCCAGGTTGCGTTGCGAAGCATGCTGATCTTGTGGTTCTCGCTGAGGAGGGCAAGGAGAGGGCGAAGCGCGCCAGCCTTGAGGACGTAATCGCGGCACTGGGGGCTGTCACCAGCGATATTGCCGAGCGCCCAGACTGCCTGCTCGCGAACATCCGTCACGGGCGAAGAGAGAAGGTTGATGAACTCTGGCACGGCCTGTGCGTTGATGACGACCTGGGTGTGCTCCGCGGTACCCGACGCGATGTTGGTCAACGCCCACGCGGCCTCAAACTGCACCACAAACACGATCGGACACGCGTCAGTCACGCAGGTTCAAATCAGAAGGAAAGGCGGACAAGCGCCGCCACGCGGGATGTTGCACGCACCTGGAGCATCGAGTGGCCTGTCTTGAGGAACTCGACGAAGCGCGGGACGACGCCGCACTCGATGACCTTCTCGATCGGTGGGTTTTTCTCTTTCGACAGCAGCTTCCTGAACTTGGTCGTCGCCTCCAGCTGCCGTTCCGGGTCTTCGCTGAACACCGCAGCGAGCATCTCCTACATT